CTATGGCTCCGTTTGTTTGATACAAACGCTGAACTGGGGCATTTATGCATTCCGGTTTGCATTTGCGAACATTTATTTGAAATATAAAAAAATAATGATTATCAGAGTAAAAATATATTTTCTAACATTTTTGTACTCTAAAAAAAGAATATTATTGTACCTATTTTTTGGATACAATTATGTATTCATTTGATAATTAACGTTTTGATCAAAGTTGAGAAATTTGGAGCATAAGATAGTTGGAGCATTTAATGATGGGCCCACACTTTTGCACCGATTTCAAACAAATAGGATGAATGCAAAAATAGTTTAAAATTTGAACCATATTTGCATTCATGAACCCAAAAATGCGTAAATATGTAAGTACATATTTGTGTTTGCATTACAAACAAACGCAGCTTATATATCTTCTGCATTCTTTTTTGCAAAGGAAGGAGACCTTTTGGAATTGAATGTAAAAACTGTTCAGTAGTCTTATGTAGTATTAGTACAAGATATTTTGGACTGGGAAATAATGGCACACTACCGATATAGTTGTGATGTTAATGGGCCAGTTCAGTTTACTTTGATGGTAGAACCTGGAATCCACTTTATAGCTAGGGTTTTGTTTTTGAAACGGGAATCAATCTTATGAAGGTCAAGTTTAGTCTTGGCGATTCCGAGGTCTTCAATAAATACAATATGAAACATGTTATATAATATATAGATAGTATAAAATTATATATTATCTTTGTTGATTAAATTGAGTAATTTAATATGTAAATTATCATAATATATTAATATATGATTCAAAACTTATCATTATAATTTAAATCTTGTAAATATTACCTTTTATATTGCTTATTATATACATTCAAATATTAAAATAAAAATAAATGATCAAATCACTTAGGCTGTGTTTGGTTTGAAGGAAAAAGTAGGGAAAGGTAAGGAATCCTTTACAAATTTGTATAGGTTCCATTGCCTTTCCCTATCTTTTCCTTCAAACCAAACATAGTCTTACGTAACTTAATGGTTAAGTGAAACCATGCCTTTTGTAACCACGAGTGCTTGGATTCAAATCTCCACATCATCAAAAGTATTTTGGAGTTATTTCAAGGCAAGTTTGACTCCAAGGCCAATTCCACCAAGGTTGATTCCAGTAAGGCTAATCAAGGTCTACTCATTAGGTCAGTTGGGTAGGGTAAACCCCTAGACCCTAAATCTGGCCTAGGTAGGGATCGGTTCCAAGAATTTAGAACCAAACCCTACCTTGTAGCAAATTGGATAAGGTCAGTTCAAGGTTGGTTCGAGGATAAAACCAACCCATTTGCTCACCCCTAGATGTTATTGAGACTTGCTGACTTTTACAATACAACCAGAAGAAAATCTAATAAACCCATAAGGGAGCATTTTTTTTTGGATTTTAACTTCCATTGACCTAGAAGCCCATATTCCTTTTTCAGATTTATGTGGGGACCAAGAAAAGTTTATTTTCCTGGGTATGTAAGTGATACCCATCTCCTAGGTGAATAAAAAACGGGACTAGGTACAACATAAGTAAGCATGTTAAATGAGCACTTGATAAATACTTTGACAGCTGTCAAAAATGGGTTTTAATATTTTTCAAGGGTGGGCTAAGCCACTAAGGTATTTTAAGGGACAGGTGTCAAAAAAATTTCAAGTGTTAATTAAGCATGCTTGTGTTTACATGATCGGAACTGGTCATTGCCTTATTTACACGGGAGATAAAAGAAAATGAGTAAATACACTTACCCAGATGAGTCTTTTCCATAAAGACTTACCTGAATAACTGCATTTACCCGAATATATAACTTACCGAAAAATAAACAGACGTAAGAGAGAAAGAAATATGTCTTATACCCGTCCATAAATTCTAACGTAAACGTATCCCAAATGGCCTCAGCTGAAGCTCGATAACCTCCACCAGTATCATTCATCAAGATAAAAAATATATCATATTCGTTTAAATCCAAACTCAAAGCCATATCATGTTCGTTGCCGAAATCAAATAAAAGGCTCAAAACACATAAATTACAGAATTAGAAGAGATAGAATATGATTGAAAAGAAGCACACCCTGAACAAGAAGATTTGGACTATTGAGACATGGTGTGGGGTTTTGAACCATCATCATTGCACATGAACTGCATTCTCAGCGTTTAGAATATTGACAGAAACATGTGTTGTTTATTGGCTGAATGCCGAAGAGACCAGTTCAGTCTGTTCAGATGGATGTTTAGTACGTATCATTTCCCTTGACGCTTTGAAAAGAGTGGCAGCCCACCATGCCGCTTGGATGGGGTTGATTTTCTTTAGGCAAGGCAGCTGATCCTCCCCTCCCCCCATCCCAAGTGTTTATGTTATCTTTCATTTTTTTTTCTAGGTTCTAGTTGTATATCTCTGTTGTCTTGCTTGTATGTATTAATTAAGCCAATGGATCTATCTGTTCTGTGTATCCATAGTTTTGAGTTATTTTCTCGGTCATGGCCAAAAAACAATAAAGGGGCAAAATTGGGGTTTTAAATAAAAATTAATTAGTAGCATGTAATGTCAAACATGGATTGTTAACGAATGAGATGTTGAAATATCAAGGGTGGTTTTAGTTTTTACCCTAAAATCAATGTTTTAAGCTCATGGTTGAAACATCTAGTTAGACCAGTCAATCCATTATCCAACCAGGTTTTCACGTTGTTAAACTTTGAAACCATTTATACTTTGGCCCCGTTTGTTGCCAGTATTTAGCAGGGGTTAAGTTGGTCAAATCAAGGTTTTAAATATTGATACATTTGATACATTGATAGGGGCATATCGGGCGATATTGATAATATTTTTTTAATTTTTTTTTCAAAAACAGTTCAGGAGGGCCGGTTTAAGGCTCCTCTACCCCCTGAACCGGTTAGAATCGCGATATACCCTCTGTAAGAGTATATCAGGGAACTCCCAAAATGATACGGATCGGTACTTTGAACCTTGGGTCAAATGAACAATTCAAATCTTTGCATTCTTATGCCACTATATTGGGTCCTATAGTAAGCCAGGATACCAGAGATTATCAATTACCCAGGTGCTTAATACCCTCATAGAAGGTGGGTAAATAATTTACCCGCACGTCGATAATACACTCTCCCTCCTGCCTTTCTCTTTACTTGGGTAACGTGTATTTCTCAAAAATGCTGGAACATGACTCACCTAGGCAATAGGACTACAAATAAATTGGATCAGAACCAATTCAAATCTGAATCTGATTTGATAAGAACCAAATTTCGATACCTTTCTTGATCCTAATAAGTCAGATTGGATTGGAAAAGTTGATCCATTTAGTTAATGGATTGAATTTGGATATACCCCAATCTAATCCGCCACGACTACTCGATCCAATCCATTAGTTATGAAATATTTATATGTTGTATATTATTTATATAATTATATATTATACATTATTTATATTCAATCATAAAATTTCTTTATTACAATTCTAATCAAATTGAATATCCGATAAGACATTTGAATTTGAATTTGAATCATACTCTTCAAAATCCAAGGGATTCTTATTGGATTCGAATCAGTCAGATTTTTTATTGGATTGGATCAAATATATCCTTTATCGAATCCAACATGATCCATTTGCAATCCTACGGGATAAGTGAAACATGGGAAACACTTGCCTAGATAAACATACTTAGATAAGTAAAAATGAATGGGGCCTTGAAAACAATGACTACATGACTCAGGCAAACAAATTGATGAATTGTTTGACTAAGTAAATGGGTTATAAATTAGATATCGATTCTCTCATTCTTTTATTATTTTGTATTTTTTGTCATTTTCATCATTAATAACAACAATCTTCATTTTTCATACTTATTTTTGTTTGATTTGATGAATTTATAATATTAGAAATATATCATTTTTCAATATATTTGGCATTCTTTATTTTACCATTTGAATCAGACAACTGAACTACTATCAACCAGAGGAAAAAAGTTTTTTTAATCATTTTAAAAACATTGATTTTAAAATAAATTGAGCTTGTTAACCCCAACGGAAAGCAGACATGGTTATAGGTTTATCGGAATACGAACAGCTAGCAATGTCTTTGTTCAAGTAGGGCTCTGATTATAAAGTTCAAACCTTTTACACAAGGCTCAGTTCGGAAGGAATATAAATGCAAATATGTAGAGAGCAAAGCCTTGTACTCTGTATTGGTTTGTATATATTTATTCTTTTCAAACCGAGCCTAAAGCTATGTTGGGTGCATTGGTTGCAATGCAAATAAATTTGCATTGATGCAGAACATGACAGTGCAAAAGTTTTGAATGTAAATTCTAACTTATTTTTGTTTCAAATTTTAGCTTATTAATTAAGACATGAAACAGAATAAAATAAAATCTAAAACAAAATTAAATAAGAATTTGCATTTTTTTACATTTATACTCCTATGTATTTATACTAGTACAAACAAATTTGCTCTGCAATCAAATTTGTTCGAAAGAAAAAATAGAAAACCCTTACAAACCTTATATAGGGTTTTCTATTTTTTCCCTATCTTTTCCTTCAAACCAAACATAGCCAAAAGAAAAAAACAGAGATTGCAGGTGTAAGTAAATACATCGCTTGATGTTAATTTCCGATTTCCTGTACAATTATAGGAGGGTTATGGCCTTGTTAGTGAAATATCGATACATCCCATCAATCTCCAGTTGTAATTAAGTGTTCCCTTAACAAAATAAACGACTTAAGCTTAAAGGACGAGCGCTTTCATTACTGCACTAAAAAAACAAACAACAATGCTGCTACCTTCCAAGACACAAAGCATTTTGCACTTTACTTGTGGCTCGGCCCGTCGGCCGAATGGTTCAAGTAAACCGGGAAGTGGGAAACTACTGAATTAGGAAGTTTCGAAAATAAGAACAGAAAGTCCCACATCGCTAGGAATGAAAAAGCTGCGTCAGTAGAGGTCTTATAAATAGGTGAACCCACGAGTTGGTGGCCATGATCCTTCAGGCAGCAAACGGGAAGTGATGAGTGGTCAAATCTCGCCATTCTTTGCGAGAGGAGTGTCCACCCCAAGCCTGGTTACGACACTATGGGCACTCCAACATATACCAATCTGATCCCTATCTTCTGACAAATTTCTCTTTTCCCTTTTCAAACTCTCCACTTCACCGATGAGGGTTGTATCAGGAATGGAAAGGTGGGTTATAATTACCATTAGATCCTAGGCCCACGGCACGTCTGTCATTCATTTTAGGGTTTATTCTCTTGGCTTGTTTTTTTAAGCTCAGCATCATTCATGTCATTCATTTTAGGGTTTAATCTCTTGCCCTGTTTTTTAAACTCAGTCGTTATTCATTTTAGGGATTATTATCACGACCTAGACGTTCTTTTTCACGGCATTCCTGGGATTTTAGAGGGTGACTGTTTTGTCCGAAGATTTGCAAACAACAAAACCTCGTATTTTAGAGAGATGTATGGTCTCAGTAATTTCTACAAAAAAATCGGTACGTTTTGGATGCATGCCATCTGTTGGATTAAAGGTCAATGTGGTAAAATAGTTTTTTTTTGCTTGAATTAAACAAGTCTTTGGATACTTGAGCCATTTTGATGGTTGAGATTTTAAAATCATGCTGGTTTTCTGATCTAAATATGCATGTAAAATTCAATTCAAACTCGAATGGGCCAAGGTCCCATAGATCTACATGCATATATAGATCAGAAAGCCAGTATGATTTTAAAATATCTCAACCATCAAAATGTCTTAAATATCCCAAGCCTCCACTGGAGTCCTTAAATCAATACTAAATGGATGTATATAGAATCTGAATAGCTGAGGTGATCCATCGTCAAGTTCATTTCGTGTATCTTTCGATGAGTGGAGAATTGCCTGTCTCCGTCTGGTTGTCTTACATTATACATACCAACCACAATCCTTAGTTGATTCATGTTTAAGGATTCTTAATGTTGCTCACAGTTCAAACTCGTAGTTCCCAAATCCCAATTTCACATGACCTTCAATCATTTGCTCATCCAGCCAATTGAGCAAACATTGCTGGATTGTTGTGCCGTTTTCTTTCTTAATTCTTACCATGTGGTAGGTACCATCGCCGTTCTGTAGACGTTTTTTCAGTACCACGTTAGTTGAAAAATGAGAAACACTAAAAAGGGTGATTTTTCACACCACACATCCAGGCTTCTAAGAAAATGTTTTCGAAGAAATGAATAATCATGCATCAGGCCTTGTACCGGAAGGCATGCCTTACAGGCTTATACTGAGGTGGTTTAGTAGTTGTATGAAGAAATGGCATTTCCAAACACCAGCTTAAGGAACCTCTTCAGATGCATCTTTCAGTTCATCTAAACTGTTAACGGTTCAAATTGGGCCGGGATAGGGGTTAGGTTGACTTGAGTTCAACCCTCCCCTAATTCGAGGTTCTCTGAACCCCGAACTTCTAAACTTACCTAGTTAACGTAACCTTACCAATCTTTAATTCCTCAACCTATGTATAAAAAAAAGATCGTAAATTTCAGAACCTTACTTCTCTCCCATCTTAAAATTTCATAAAATCTCTCAAATTAATTGAATTTATGTGACCATATGTTGATCCTATATCCTGTTTGCATTTGTTTGTTTGATGTTTTTGTTTGTTTTTTAGTGCATTAATGAAAAGTGAAATGCTTCATATAGTTAAAATCCATTATGAATTATGAAAGAATTTCTACCTATCATCTAAGATCATAAAATCAGCAATTATAAAAGCTATAAAATGAAAATCACTAATGACATGTGTTATGGTTAAGGCAGAGTTGAGAAAAATTAATATGGTGGTATGTAGTGTGATTTGTCATACACAACAGCAATGGTAGAATTGGGTTTGGTTGGCAAAAGTTGAAGGAGTCCTGGATAACCTAGCTCAAGGTGCAGCCCTAGCCAGATGGACCATTGGCCCACAAGCCACAACTTAATCAATGCCCCAGTAAGTGGCAAGTGGGTTTGAACGTCCACCTCACTAGTTTGTATAGGTTTGTGCTAATTGAGGGATGTTACCATAATTTAAACGAGACCTGATCTGCTCCTCACACCTGGCGCCTCACATGCGCATCCTACCATGCATTGTGCATGGGAACATCTCCCAATGTTCTTAATGCACGGTGGCGCCCATTTGTGAGGAGCATATATGGGGTTTGGGTCAATATATTTTCTCTAACGTAAAAATTTTTAAATGGCAAGAATGTCTCTGATTTCAAAGACGATATATACTACGTATCTAAATTGATCAACAACTTCAACATGGGAGTCTAATTAAATATGTTCCTGTCCTATAAACTCTTTTCATATTTCAGATGTAGTAGACTTTTAACTATAATACTAAATGAAATCGTCTCCTCCCACAATCCATCCCAAAGAGAGGAGGGGTCTGAACATATATGGCCACAAAACAATTAGTTGACCCACATGATCAATTGGAAATCCAACCTGAATTGGGAACATCTGCCATGACTGACGGCATACAAGGTTACGAGTACAGAAAGTGTTTTAGAAGTGTGGCCCGATTGCCATACAGTCAAGTGCGTCTTTTGCTGATTACGAATTCCGCCTCTTTCCAAATTCCAACCTAGTTATCGGGCCAAGTTCAATCGGGCTATTGCCCAACAAAAAGGAAATCACAAATCTACAATATAAGTGCTTGTTATAGCACAGCCCAGAAGGCCCCCTAGTTATGGCCTTTTGGCCTTCCGTATGGTGGTATGGGCATGGTTAGCTGGATCATGAGTTCCTTTTGTGGACCACGCTTGATAGAGAGTTCTTGGTTTGTCGTTCTGTTTTTGTGACTGTTTGTTTCCTTTATAAGTGAATTTTATTTGGATATGGGTCCATTTGCATTTGGAATCAGATTTACATAGAATCTGACCCTATTAATATTTTAACACGAATAAGATTTTGCCCATTGTATCTTAATGGGACTCAGATCGGATTCAGATATACCATTAATTGAACTGCGAATTGAATAATATACCATTAACCTATTAGCATATATTAAAGTAAAGTTGGCTACATCAAATGGCTTCTCCTTTTCTCTTCTTCCACAACCCTATGTTTCTAAAATGCCTCTCTGGCTCTCTTGTTCTCTTCTTTAACTCTAACTCTTTCAACTTGTCACCTCAGCATGATCCTCTCTCCCTTTTCATCATTTTCGTTACCTCCTCCATCATGCCCCTTACGAAGATTTTGTTTTCCAATATTTGGAAAACCACATTACACTCTTATGTGTCCCCAGTTTGCATTAGCATCACTCTTTCAACAATAACAAAACGTATTGAAATTCATTGTCCACAATTATGTGTCCCCACATTACACTCTTATGGATCCATTTGTTAACCCCTAGTCCCCTATTTATTAATAAGAATAGACCAATAATGGTCCACAATAATAACATAAAAATTAAAATAGAAACATAATTTACTATTAATTTATAGTTGTAACCCATACCCCTCCAACCTCTAATACATTTGAAAATTAGAAACTCTTAAATTTATTTATTAACAATTAGTGAAGATGACTAAAATCAATTAGTAACATAAAAATATTAGCAGAAATTAGTATTAATTAATTATAATTGTTAATGGAAAAATTAATGGCAAAATCATATTAGAAAATTAATTGTATTAATTAACAGAAAAATAAATTAATAAAAAAATAATAACAGAAAAGTCATAAACTTAATTGTGTTAATTAACTAAAAATTAACTGAAAAGATAATATAAAATTAAATAAAAATGACAAAACATATAAGCATAAATAACATAAACGTACGGGTAACATAGCAAAATAACAATATAAAATTAACAAAAATTACTATTAATTAATAAAAATGTTATAACATTTTCTTATTGTTGTTTTACATTTATATAGGGTAGTCATGTGCAACCTATCCCATTCAGGTAAAAACCCCAAACCCTCTTTCTGTTTACTTGATGCCAACCCACCTTCCTTCCATCTTTCTAGGGTCCCCTCCTCCAATGGTTGAAGCTTCAAACTCTGACTAGGTAAGTCCACTACCAATCATCTCTACTTATGGACCCACATTTTCCAACATTGTTCTTTTTCCTCATTTTCATTTGCTAGGTCTCTTCATCCCATGGAATTAAGTTCTAATTCCAGGCAAAATTAAAAATCCTGATTGATTCTAATTCTGGTTTCTAAATGAAACAATTGACATTAATTGGGCTTCAATTCCGATTTTGATTTTGATTGCAAACCAAATGGACCCTTGTTAGCAAATCCATATATATATAATTAATATATATGCATGTATATATACAATTAGAAAAATGATATATATAAACAAAATGCATACATATCTATTTGTTTAGGTGGACATGGGTTGGGCTGCGCTGGATTGGCTTAGGCTTGAGATGCCTGAGGCCTCAACCCAAGTTTAGAAAGCAAAATTTTGAGCTAAAAAAAGGCATGCCCAACCCATGCAACAGCTTGAGTATTGTCAACTTGAGTTGGGCCCACGTAAATTTCAGTCTTATACATCACCCGAAAAATAATGCTTCAGTTGAACTTGGATCACTATGGCTAAATTAATTAGAAATGTGAATGACGTGCAGCTCAATGAACTTTAACTTTGTTTAAAAAAAAATTCCGTGCATCACAGGGTCCTTACTAATAAAATAAATTACGGCATGGGCTTATGAGCCTTTAATGAAAAAATGATATTGAAACCAGCTTTGAAGATATACTATTTTTAATTTTTTTATATAAATTATCGGACTTGCATCTCAATCGGATTGGGATTGAGTTGATTCAGATCCATTCTAGTATTATAAACGGATCTGATTTTTTGAGGTCCAAATCCGGATTAAATGAATTGAATTTCAAACTCGGACTTGGACAATCAGACAGTACTGCTCGTGGGATTAGATCCTTGTTTGGATATCAAGTGAAACAAAATGACTTTATTATTGCATAAACCATAAAAAGACTAACATCCCATCCCGATTCCCGACCCGTTTCCACAGCGCGGAAGTTGGAACTTGGAACAAAGAGCTATCAAAAGCAAAACTCAACCTTTTTCTACCAAAAAAAAATCGAAACACAACTTTAATTACCACCGTGCACATAAACAAAAAAAGAAGGAAGGAAAAAAATCTTTACCAATCTGCATTACAACTTTCCGTTACACGGAATTGAATTTAGCACAATTTTTCGTTTTCCAAATAGAAAGCAACCAACACAAAATAAAATTCATTTCAGAAAAAGAAAAAAAAAAGGAAAAGATAGAGAAAAACGGTGAGAGGGAGGGAGAGCACAATCGTGAAGCGATAATCCATGACACTGGGATAGCTCAGAGGATAAAACCAAAGCAAGTCATCAGAGTGAGCAGTGGAATCAAAGTAAAGCGAATCCTTGAAGAACCACTATCGAAAGGAGTATTATCTATAAGAGGTTGCTGTTGCTGCTGCTGCTGGTTAGCTCCAAAGGGTTGGTTCGGAGCAGAGTAAGGCTGGTGGTTTAGGTGATCACCCAATTGCTCCAGCGGTTGTTGGTCACCCAATTGAGAGTTCTGTCCTTGGTTGTTCGCAGACTGACCGAAATGAAGATTACCATTAGATATGGGCTTAGCGAAAGGAGGCAGAGCAGGAGCCAATCCGGGAGCACCTATAGATCCACAGTTCTGATTAGAGATTGGGTTATCGCTAGCCTTCCATATGAGATTCCCGTCTTTATCCCTTATCTGCATGTCACCTTTGTCCAGCATCTCCAGTGTCTCCAACTGCTCCCCATCAGCGTTAGTATCCCATGAAGAACGGCTGCCGTCAAAGATCTCCAAACCTGCATCAGAGAAAACCAGAGTGCACGAGTTGACATTGCTCACAGAAGCACACTCCGATTCCCAGACGCTCTGGCCGGATTCATCCTGGACTTGGATGTAGCAGAAGTCATTTCCAAAACCTCCAGCACCGAAAGAAGTCTCACGACGTAGTAGGAAGGCAGAGTATTTGCCCGACGGGGAAGTAAGGAACAGCTGAGATGAACCAGAGGTTGGAGTTGCTTCATGAATCGGAGGAATACTCGCAAGAAGTTGCTGTCTTGCTGTCCTTTCGATTGTTCCTGGAGGAGTCGCGGCTTGCACTAGGAGGAGAGAGGAAAAAAGGAAGATGAGGAAACATAGGAAGAGATTGGCTTCGTTGGGCTTGTGGCTCTCCATTGTTGAGTTGGGATGCCGAATGAATACAGAAGAGAGAAGGTGTCTTTAGGTGGTGATGGACGTGTAGATGTCTTCACGGGATTATATAGAATCCGGTTCAACTGGCTTCAAACTAGTAGTAGGAGCAGTTGACAGATGACGGTGAGCGCATATTAGGAGAAAAATGAAAGAAACTACATCCAGTTCATTGTTTAAATGATATGGTAGGTGTTTCAATGTTTTTATATGCTAAGACCTACTGAAACCAACATTTAAAACAAGATTATTTATATTAATTTGTTAAGTCTTACTCATTCCAAATAGGAAGTTTTGATTCCAGTGAATCGATCATAACCAATCTTATGTACCTATAATTTCCTCGTGAGCATCATCTGGCCGGCCATCCCAAACTTCATTTGAGGTGGACCGTCCACCTGTAAAATTGTTTTAAATAATAAAAGTAATGCACATTGGTTGGATTAATCCAACAATAGGTTCAACCAACTTGAACTTTTGCTCCATTCTTTTTATTGTTTTTTGGTCAATTAGTGGACACCGGTTTTCGTTTTAATTTTTTAAACTTTAATTTAGCAGTTTGCTTCCTTCTGACAGATCACAGGACACCATTCTTATCATGGGGAGTGTACGAAAATTCGAGTAGATTGGGCCTTTTTCTTCATGCAACTAGAGATACTTTGGTAGTCAAAAGAATTTGGTGTTTCAGGTAAAGTTCAAAGTATAGGAAATGTCAAGTGTATCTGAAAATCAATTTTAAGAGATTTATTGGGATATGTGTTGGATGTGTATGTGTACCGGAAAAAAACTAAGATACGTTTGGAAATATAAATATTTTAATAAATCATAAAAATATATCAACAACACTAAATATAAGACCTCAATTAGATATATATATATATATTAAATTAATATATTTTAATGGTTTTATGAAGAAACTTATTGTAGTTAATTATAATTTCATTAAAAATCCTATGCTTAATTATAATTTATAAATTATAATTCTTAAGTTTTAATGTTTCATGGGATGGGAAAACCCAACTCTTCTATCCAACCACAAAACATGCATTGGCACAAATTCTAAGTGAAAATATAAGTAATAATTATTATTTATTATTTATTTCTAAAAATTATAAAAAGTAAATAAACATTATATAATATATTCAAAAAAATAGTTCTTAAAGAAATTTCAATTGCTTTGTATATATGATAGATCATCCATAGAATTATAATATATTCAGTCATTATGATCAAATGGTAAAATGTAATTAATTAATTAATTTTTAATTCTAAAAATATAAAAATAAAAAATATTTATTAAAGAATAAATTTCAATTGGTCTGTGGATATGATAGATCATACATAAAATTATAATATATTTAATTGTTGTAATCAAATGATAAAATATAATTAATTAATATTTATTTTGTAATTATAAAAGTATAAAAAATCAAAAAAAATATTAAAGAAGAAATTTCAATTGCTCTATGGATATGATAGATAAATCCATAGATCTAAAATATATTTAGTCTTTATAGGCATAGAAGAAATTACATTTTCAAAAATTTGAAAAAATTGTGATTTTGAATGTAAGAAATATAGATCAACATAAATTTAAATATTCAAGAAAATAAAGAAATCACAAGATATTATAAAAATTTGAAAAATTACCTATTTTTGCCATATTTTTCAGAATTTGAAAAAACTTTAAAGAAATTATTGATTTACACTTGTTTTGCAATTTTTTGCAAATCTAGCACTCTAGGAATGAGATTTGGAATTTTAGAGTCATTTAAGAGTGAAAAAAGGTTAATTTCAGAGAAAATAAGCTTGCTTTCTCCCTTTATTTTTTTTTCAGTTTTTGGCCATATATTTCATCGATACACTACTGATACACCCCTGATACGGGTCCAATATGCATGAAAAGAAGATAAGATGCCCGATTTTCATGCGTATCCTGTATTTATTTTTCAAAGATACGATATGATACGCCCCACATGAGACGTATTGTATCGAAATTTTAAACCTTAGTTTCAAGTATGTCTTTTTTTTTATGAATAATATATGTCCCGGTTGAAAACCATTATCCAAGCATCAAGGTTTTAAGCGTTTATGCTGAGTCTACTTATTTGATTTAGGACACTAAATTGGGTGTGATTTGAATTAATAAACAATTAGCCATTTTAATTTTCTAGAAGAATGAGGCCCAATCAATATGACAATTTTCAAAGCCTCAATGCTGTTTTATATATATATAATTTGAGACACAAAACTAGAATTACATTTGATTTGTTATTGAAGGGCATGAGCTAACTTGCCGATTGAATCAAGAAATGATAAATTAAGAGATAAAATATGAGCACCCCACTTTAACTCACATATATTTTATTAATTTTAAATTAAAATATACTTACCACTTTCTATAATAGGAAGATAGGGCTTTGCTCTAATATATATGGTATAGCAGGAGAGCCCCCTACATATGCATAGGACTACATGGGTGTTGTAGGTATCTGTTGATCGTTACGACCATGGGGCACAAAAGGTGCCAAACCAATGCTACAGGAATGTTTGTGACAAGTTCACAATTTGGTATACATCTGCGATGAGCTTAGAACCTGCATAGACTTGCAATGAATTCAAAGCCCGAAACGAGCTACGATGACCTCAAAAACCGCATAAACTTGTGATGAGCTCAAAGCCATTGCACACTTGCGATGAGCTCAAATTCATCGCAGGTTAGGAATGAATAAAGAAACATGTGCTTCACTAATAACGCGCATAACAAAACGTCCAGTAGGATTAAAAAAGATACGCGAGATAAGTATTAATGTCACTCACGCCACGTCAATCTAAGAGGCTTGCGAAAGGAAGTAGCACATGTGTATTATGAGAATCCTCAGACGAAGGAAAACCCCGTCTTTGAAATATCTCATAAAACATGTGGTGAAACCCTAGTAGTGTTCCCGGATAACTGACACAGAATCTAATATTCACTTCCCTAGTGGGAATTAAACACTTTTAGCTCATTCCTTTCAGGACTTCAAGATCTCTCCCTATAAATAGAGGTTAAACTCATAACGAGATTTTCATTCTATCACTTTATCCACCCTAACATTTAGCCTACCCTTCGCTCTTGGCTTTCCTTTGTCTTTCAAGGAGACCCCATACATAGCCTTACCTCCCTACTCACAGGTGTAACAAAAAGAAAAATACGAAAAACTTTATAAGTAAAAATGGCATCAAAAAAGCATTTTTTTGTTTTTTATTTTATTTATTTATTATTTTTATTTTTTTATTAGAACGGGGTGTTTGTTCAATCCAAATGGTCGAACCGTTCAACCTAGGGACCAAACCTAGAACAATTCTTTGTCCAATCCGGTTTTAAAAACCTTGCCTAATAGTATGAATTGAACTTTACAATTAAAAAAAAAAGGAATTAATGAAAATCATAGACAAGGCCGTATAATCATCTCCCTGCTATAGTATATAGCATGGATATTAGATAGGGAAGCCAAAGCAATGTCAAGGCTTAGTAGATATATTCATTGGAGTATATTCACTGGTTGCTTAGTAGATATATTCACTGGTTGCATGATGAATGAAATTTCATGATTAAAAGGTTTTAAAAACTGATTCAAAATTGGAATCATTATGGCCACCGGCTTTTTTGGTCAATGATTTGATCGTTTGGTTCAAATAAATGGTTTGTTTCAGTTTAAAAAATTAAAAAATAGTTAAAAAACAACCAAAAACCATTGAATGGATGGATTGATGGTTCGACCGCCCAAGCCAATGACCTACTGACCAAATGAACGTTTTTTTGGCCAAGGACCAGGTTAAGGGTGAAACGAAATTAGTTGCCTAAACGATTCTCGGGCTGAATGGTCCGACCATCCACGTCAACGATGGCTCATAAACACTGTTAAAATGTATATCTTTGCAGCCCTAATCTGCACCTTCTAGCCAATGATGATGATCTTCTCATGCCAAGGCTTACGCTTTATTATCAGAAGAGACCTCGGTCTCAAAGGTCGGGATTCATAAAACTACCTACTGAGCTTCTCTAAGAAGCTGTGTTTGGTGAAAATCCATACGACTGTGTTTGGTTGCAATATAAATAAATTTGCACTGGCAGTGCAAATAATTAGAGTGTAAATTTTGACCTATTCTTGTTTCAAATTGTAGCTTATTTTGTTTGATTTCAGTACATTTCAAGTAAATTAAATTAAGACATGAAACAGAATAAAGTAAAATCCAAAACAAAATTAAAAAAGAAATTGCATTTTTACATTTGCACTCCCATACATTTGCAATAGTGCAAATAAATTTGCACTGCAACCAGCAAACACAGCCTAAAGCCCAAATCAGTGCTCTGAATGCCATTCTTGAGCGACTATATAAAATATGAAGCTACTATGAATAGCCTATCTGGAACATGGATGCTCAACATGGAGGGCTTTTTTTAACAGTTCAGTCCAAATGCATAAACCCTCCCAAACGGGGCTAAAACTAAATCACTTATAAGCTGATAAGTGGAAATTAAAATTTTACATTTTTCAAAATAGGGACATCTATGGAAACTTAATTATAATTGTTCAAATTTTCATAAGCATATTCTCGTCAAACAAACTTTGCCGGTGTGAGCTTGTCTACGGTCTCAAGCCCGGATAAAGGGAGTGTTAAACCCAAAACAGTATAAACTCTTCAAATTGGGTAGCCAATTTGCGCCCCACAAAAGATCAGGTGTCTACACTGTTACGAAGAGAACTTCTGACTTGTCTCTACTCCTTGCTCCAAATAAGAGGTTTTCTATCGAAAAATGTCTGTGTTGAGAACTTCTCATAAGAGCTACACAAAACAGGAAAAGACGACAGCACAAGTGCAACTTACAACAATAAAGATGCAACCAAGATGCATTGCAGTGCATTACATGATTATGTTTGAAAGACATACAAGGTTCGGACAATTTGAACACCATCCATAATAATAAATACTAATACATTTCCATTTCATCATTCCAATTCACAACAAATTTCATACTATTTTTTAATAGAAAACAGAGGAACACAAGAGGTGGGGAGGGGTTTGATTACAGCATAGCTATAAGCGGTCATGCACAATTGACTGTCATCCGTCACACTAAGATAACTCAGAGGAGGAATCCGAAATAAGTCAGAATAGTAATCATAGTAACCAAAGCAACCCCAAACTTGAGTGGTGCTTCCCTTGAAGAAGCGCTATTGAAAGGAGTGTTGTCTATAAGGGGCTGCTGCTGGTTAACCCCAAAAGTTTGGCCAAGAGGAGAGCCGAGCTGGTTAAGGCCCGAGAAAGGTTGGTTAATATTCTGTCGAGAGTCACCCAGTTGTTGTTGGTCACCCAATTGAGAGTTCTGTCCTTGGTTGTTCGCAGACTGACCGAAAGGAAGATTGCCATTAGATATGGGCTTAGCGAAAGGAGGCAGAGCAGGAGCCAATCCAGGAGCACCTATAGATCCACAGTTTTGATTAGAGATTGGGTTATCGCTAGCCTTCCATATGAGATTCCCGTCTTTGTCCCTTATCTGCATGTCACCTTTGTCCAGCATCTCCAGTGTCTCCAACTGCTCCCCATCAGCGTTAGTATCCCATGAAGAACGGCTGCCGTCAAAGATCTCCAAACCCGCATCAGAGAAAACCAGAGTGCACGAGTTGACATTGCTCACAGAAGCACACTCCGATTCCCAGACGCTCTGGCCGGATTCATCTTGGACTTGGATGTAGCAGAAGTCATTTCCAAAACCTCCAGCACCGAAAGAAGTCTCACGACGTAGTAGGAAGGCAGAGTATTTGCCCGACGGGGAAGTAAGGAACAGCTGAGATGAACCAGAGCTGGTTGGAGTTGCTTCATGAACCGGAGGAATGCTCGCAAGAAGTTGCTGTCTTGCTGCCCTCTCAATTGTTCCTGAGGGAGCCACTGCTTGTACACAAAGAAGAGTGGAAGAAAAGAAGATGAGAAGAGTGAGGAAGGAATTAGCTTTGCAAGGCTTGAGGCTCTCCATGTTGGGTTGGAATGAATGCAGTAGAGGACGCTTTGTCTTTAGGTAGTGATGGACGTGGGAATAACTTGACAGGGTTATATAGAGGAGCTGGTGCAACTGGTTAATTACGAGTAGAAGTAGGAGCAGTTGACAAATGAGAATGAACAAAGCTAATAGAATAAAAGAAAACTATATCCAGACTATTACGTTGATTAGCTGATAATATATTGTAATACCTACTTAACCCAATATCTAGAAAAGGATAAATTACAAGAATAGAACGTCATTCTTTTCAAATGGGAGAAAACATTGATAAGTGATTTTGCAGCCGTCGGATCTTGGTTTAATTAATAGTGTTTAAGCATATAGGTTCTCAACTAATTACTATTATACAGTAATTGAATTGGTTGGTGCGGGAAGATCCTCAAGCCAGCATTCAATATGTATAGTTCATCCTGGATTAGTTTTGTTGCTGAAGTAATAATGTCCAAATGGCTACCTTATAAAAAATGTGGCAGTTCAAACTTTAAAGGAGTGTAGTAGGCCTAACTAATTCAACAAGTAACGAAGTAAGCATGCATTAATTCTTTCTTTTTTTTTTTTTTTGGCGAAGTACGTATTAATTCATTAAATCGTTGTCGTCATAAATTAATGAAATAATAGTAGCATCAAGGGGTGGAGATTGACGTCTAAGTCTTTGACTCTTTTTAACTGACGCAACAAAAACATGCTCTTGGATCTTCAGCACAATAAAGAAAAATTGGAATTTCTGAAGAATATAATATGTACCGACAAGAAAAGGGTTTAATAAATAGATAGAACAATATGACGGGTTAAAAGAATTTTCTTTCTTTTGTTATTGGGGAGGGGGTGTTTGAGAGAGAGAGAGGTCTTCGTTATCCTCTGACTCTGAATTTGGTCATCTAGTTGATCGTAAATGGTTTAATATACTATAGGGCCCACAACCAACCAAAAGACTGTTAGCGTAGGTTTACTTTTAGTTCACATAGACATAATGTGGGCTCATTTGGTGTGACAAATTATTGATGAGCATCAGCAGCAAGTAGAAGCCAAACATTGTGGTTCAACGTGGGCTTATACGTTGTTCCTATGGCAGTACAGTGAGCGGTCGTCAAACGGAAGATGGTCCGACCAGGGTAGCAATTTCCTAAATCCTATTTTAAGTTAATCATGGCAAAATAAAAACCAGCCAACCATAGGCATTCCAGTAATCAAAATGTTCGCTAGTATTTAAAAGCGTTATATTGTGCAATGTGCACCGAGTGGAGTTGTTACATGCATCCGCCAATATTTACGTCCAACAGAACTTTCAATTCTAATATCATTCATTATTGTACTTCAGATAAAATTGGTCAAAACCGAGGAATTTGCATAGATAGATCTACCAGCTACATACAAAAATTGGCTCACAAGGCCACAATATAATTTAATCTTTTGAAATTCGGATTAAAAGTGATGTTCAATTCTTCAATATAAGTCCTACGAAATCCGGATCTGCTTCTCAGAGCACTCCTCACACCAAACTGACAGCATGTTTCAGCCGCACATCGAAAAAGTCGTCTATACTCGTATATTATTATTTATGAGAGATGTTCCGAGATGTGACTGAGGAGCAAATCCCAATTCAGTCCTACGGAGTTTGAAATTTTTTTTCTAACCAATACCCTTCGTATTAAAAAGCCGATTTTGAATATATATTTATTAACTTATATGATACAAAAGCTGTCCATTGAGGAACATGTATATATTTTTATATACACACACAAAAAAAGAGAAATCTAGAAAAAATGATATATGAAAAAAAATGACTATTGATTTGATTTGAGGCAAAATGAGCTATTGGAACTCTACGTAGTCAACCCATCCATTACATCCAAAAGGTTAGTCCTTGAAGCTTCCCAATCTTGGGCAGCGTTGAAATCTTTGGTTGGAGAGCTACCAGTGCTCTTGCTCGATCCCCAACGGTGGGTCCTTTTTTTCTTGCCTGTCATAAACTCTTGGCTTTTGCTTATTCCAGGAACCACCCTTCTGCGGCTGACATCTTCCAACATATCCCGATCTTCTTGAGAGAATTGCACAACCTTGCTGTTTTTCTTATTATCATCCAGTAAGGGATTTTTTTGTCTCTCCGGCACTTGAAGGCCTTTACGGGTTGGGGAACGAACAGGAAATAGTGGCTTGAGTCCATGGTCTCTCTGTCTTACCTGGCTAATCAAATGGTGAAGCCACGTCACCAGTTCAAGGATATATAAGTCTGTTTTTTGAATGCCTGCATGATAAAGTGTCTGGAGGCGAATCAAGTTACTCTGTTCAGCTGCCTTCTTGTTAAATTCATAACTGTCAGTCAACAACGATCAATTTTAGACCTCGTTTCAGACTGGTAAACATGGTATTTACAATTGCAAACAATGATCTTATTTTAGAAGAAAAGGTCAATGAATTAAGTCATTAAGAGCACCCTATTTGTGATAATCAGGGTTCTCCCCCTAAACCAAATAACCAAGGGCTGTGAAAAGACAAAAATGCCAACAATTAGAATTTTGTCCAGAGTTTTATGGTATTTAATAACGAAGGCACCACTGTCTTTCAGTTTCCACTTTCCAGTTCCCTTAACCAAGAGCAAGAGGGAACATCCCATTTCTAACGGCAAGGGCACTTGGATTATAATCAAGTACCAGAAGAAACATGTGTGTGTGTGTGTGTGTGAGAGAGAGAGAGAGAGAGAGAGAGAGTTCTCATTTCACAACTGACCCAGCATTTGCCCATTCTCCAACCCAGCCAAAACCTTGATGTGCTCTGATTCCATAGCCATAAAAGCAAAAATGCAAAACAGAGAGCAAAAAATGCATGTTAGAACATGACCAAAAGCAATAAATACCAATTGTTAATCAAAACTAAAGAAAGTATAGGCAAAACAGTTCGATGAGATTTGTAAGTGAAATAGCACAAGCATAACCATGTAGATAAGACACGTAAAGAACATTTCAATTGACCCACCTAGTTGTATTTGCAGCCACAGGTACAAGCCACTGCAGAGTTTTCTCCATTTCAGCCTTGATCTGGGGAATCGTGAGCTGCAGGCATTACATATTTGAGCAGTTAAACAAGGAAGACAAATGAGAGAATGTCCTTGGATTCCACAATGTACGAAGAAAAGAAGTCCACTTTTAGGTTAAATAATCAACATTTGTGTCATTGCCTAGACGGACATAAATGTGAATAAGATTCGGCCCCATTATAAATAAGGTTTAACTTTTTTTCCTGGGAACTATACATGCACAATACAGGCACTCATGCAGGCTATTATTTCTTAAAGCAGTTATTGCATGACATCAATATATGCATGCACGTTTGACTTGTGTTAAGACCAATTTTTTAGGGCCATCTTATAACACAGTTTTGCACATATTTGGAAAGGCATGTAACTGCATGGTAACCATTGTGGGTTTAGGAACCAAGGTCAATTTGGAAGAGATGCTCATGTGCTAAGTAGAAGATTGTTTATTTTTCAGATGTTATGTTGTAGTGTTGATCTGAATTTTTTTTTTGATCAGTAGTGTTGATCTGAAATTTTTTCTTTTAATGAAAAAATTTCTTTTACTATATAAAAAAATTAAAATACATACCATGGAAGAAGACAATCAAGTCATAATTCATAAGAGCTAAATGAGTATGTAATGAGGTGTGACTAGCTTCCAGGAGGTAATGATTGTCCAAAAGCAGCATACCTCTTCCCTTTCATTAAATGATTGCAACCGGGAACGCAAAGTTGTCTTAACACCCGTTGGCAATGCATGATATAATGTATCTCTCATGTTAGGAGGAAGGGAACTGGGCCGAGAAACCTATGTACAGAGATTTCAATGTAAGAACAAACATAGCTTTTCACTGAAGCCATTCATTCAACCACTTATCAGTGTAGTTATTGACAATAAACAACAACATTATAGAAGCAATGCAAAATTTAGTTACCAGTAAGATTGGCACATCTTTTAAGATGTCTAATATTCTATAAAGTGAGAAAATGCATAAAAAGATATAGACAAGACCAAGGGAGAGAATTTTGTTTTACTTCAACCAATGCTAAATATGTATTTATAATCAATTGTCCATCATCTAACTAATCAATGCAACTTCCATGATGTTTTAGGTTTTAAAACATGGGAGACAAGCTCAAGAATGGATGCACATGCAAACACTCCTATAAACATGATTAGCAATGAAATAGAAACAGCATAAAGAGTTTTTAAAATATATCAGTAAACACCACCTGTGCAATAAGGATACTTAAATTATAGAAATAGCAATTCACCAACATGAGTAACACATACGCATAGAACACTAGTAGAAAATAATTAACCTCGTTCTTTTAAATTTATATTTCAGAGAGAAAAGAATTAATTTGTATTTTTCAAAATTTGTAAGGACAGAGTACATGTAAAAGAATCATTGGCCAAGAAGACAGGAGTGAGAAGCCATACTCTATGGATTCATGATCTGACACTTTTTCTGGGTAATCATCTCTTTAATACCAAGATTTTGGTTCAAGCTAAGGTTCCTAAAAGACAAGGGGAAGGCTAAAAGAAAACTGGGTCCAGGTAACAAGTAATTTTTCTATATCCAGTCAACCCCTCCTAAGACCCTGATAGCCAGGCCTTAGAGAACAACCAAATTAGAATAAAAACAAATCATCATATGCCCATAGAAATCCTTTAAGACCAATCAGCAAGGAAGTAGGTAAATGAACAAGCAGATCCTACCAACAGGGCTAGAGTATCCATCAAAGATTCCCCTGATTCTATCCTTCCACAACCCCCAAATAAACTAACACGTATTTTCCTGACAATAAGTTTTCAGTATGCAGAATTGTTGTGTTATAAATTACCACATTATGTAGTATTTAAAAATATTTAAAGTGCATTGTAACCAAAAAAAATACAAACAACTTCAGCTACTTATTCTAAATAAGTTCTGGAGATGCACTGTTATGATGTAAATGTAATATTTACATCAAAAGAATTGAAACATATGAAGATTTCACTACAGATAAGGAACATATGAAAAATTGACTAAATATTTACATTCCAAGAGGACTTCATCAAAAGTACCATCAACTAATCAACAGTTTGGTGGAATTTTAAGACCATGACACAAACCCCATATATTGCATTATTATTTATATATTTTAGTTGAACAATTATGTAGTCATCATCATTTAGCACATCAAGTCTGAATCTGAAAGTTCAAAACCTCTAAAATTGATGAAGTGCTGTAACAGCACATGTTAATATGTACATTGCTGCCACTTGTCATGCTACACAAACATGAGAATGAATAGCTATTATACTCACAATACTATCTATCTGATTGATGATGTTTGCATAGTGTAATGCAAGGCCAGATGCACCCAGTCTTTGAGAGCTGTAAGTTGGATCCTTGCTAACAAATGCTGTACCTGCCATATGTTAATTACACATAAGGCATTCTCACATGAGATGAAATCTAGTGTAAAACCATAATAGCACAATCACCACCATGACAGCAGTCTTTAAAATTAATCCCATATGCATCCATTAAAAAAAAATAATGTGTTTATTTTATCAGGATTCACACACATATACACAAGCCCAAATCTTTGAGATTGTATCAAAGATTACGAGTTTGCAACAAATTATTAACAATGCAAAACACTGGGCTCAATAATCTTTAAAATGAGTTCACATGAATGTCCACCAAATAGGCTTATGCCTAAATAACAAGCATTTAGTATTTCCATAGGGAAAAACCTAGGCACTTTATAGAAACCCATGCATGTTATAAAATAGGGTCCATATAGATCAAAGTGGTTTTAAACATAGCAGACCAGATTGATGGACCAGGTCCTTCAGTCTGGGTATTCTAACCATGGAAGAACACCTCTTTGTAACAAGAGAAACTTACGATGCATGATGACTTCATATTGGGTAATTATAAATGTCAAAAAGAAAAATCCTCACAAGCATAAATCCATTTCAACACATGTAAGTAGAAGAAACATTCTGCCGCATACACACACGTGCACATGGGAATAACCAAAGTAACTAAGAATGATTAACTTGTTTGAAATCACACACCATTATTTCCAAAGGTCTCCACTATCTCTTGATGAATGAAGGTAACAATATCAACAAGCTTTTCCACAACCTACAAGAAAAACATGCTTCAGTACCATACACAACATCCTGCTACATTACATGCCAGAAAATAGTAGTAAAATTCTAAATACAAGAACAACAGGAATAGTTAACAGCCATATTTTAACCAAGGAAGTTTCTCCAAAACCCATGGTGTGCCATTACAGCAAGTTGAAATAATTGATTTGTGAATCAAGCACCTCTTCCAAATTTTTTGACCACAGAGATTTCTTCTTCAAGCTTCTCACAACCTTTCTTTGGTGTTTAAGCTCAGTATGTAATATCATGAGACTCTCTCCTGAAAAAAATCAGACAATAATCTACAATTAATGGATATGTTCAGTAGATAATATGCAAAAGACTGCATAAATAAGTAGCATTTATACGCCCCCTTAAACTGGGAAAAAACAGAACCAGACCCCTTTCTGGTTCAATTTCTGGTCAGATTTTTAAAACATTGCCAACAACACAGGCACCATCCATGTCTTTCCATGAGCATGAAGGGAACTCCACTCAGAGGAATCCATGCTTGAACTCCATATACTGATGCAGTTATTCTGATTCCAAAGAATCTCCATTAAATAGAATCTTAGTGAAGGGTTGTTCATTCATTGAAACAATAATCTTTCAATTTTTTATTCAACATGAATAATCAATTACTATAAGCACCAGAATTTTAATAGAAAATTACTAACAAGGTTCATGCCACACATATCTAAGAAATTACTAAAACAAAAACAAGTTGATGCATCTTAACCTCTTTGAGAGAGATGTAAAGACTCAACTTCATCAAGCTTCCGCCGATAATCTTGTTCGAATCTGTCCAAGGCATGCAACTCATGATACAACTCCTACACATGCAAAAGAGATCAGTTCCTCCAAAAAATGCATATACAAACTGAAGTGGAATGTTATGCATAATCATGAAGTATGCTTCCATAAGTCTGCAGAAGCCATAAAAATGTGAAAAACTCAAACAGGTACTATATTGATGGTTAAGTAACATTTATACTAAATCATCTAATTTAACATTTTAAATAACTCGTTTCATGTTCTAACTTGTAAGGAACAGAAAACAAACAAGTGCTTGTCATCAATTGATCTGGACTCATCTCTCAAAAGAAAATAGGTAGTGATACTAAACCTTTCATTCAGAGTCAAAAGTTTCAACTAAAAGTACTCTTATGTGTACTAGATAAAACCAAAAGATTTGCCACAGAAAACCAGGATTGGCTTGGGTCTAAACAAACACAGGACCATCTTTAAAACGAGCATTTGCATATGGTTATCTTCTCCTAATAATTATTAAGACCTTAACAAGAATAAAATACAAGATTAAATGTGACACACTTATAAAAAGACATCAAAATATTCCCTCTTTTCATCTTCCTTTATTAAAGATAAATAGTGAAATTATCTTTCTCCAGGAAGAACAGTGCAGGTAGAAATTAGAACATCTGTTTTCTTTTCAACTTCTAAGAAAAATGAAGTGCATAAATATTGTACTGGGCCAACTTTATTATGGATTTCAGGAGTTACCTCAGGCAGGTGGTTTGACCTAAGTAGAATAAAAATTGGTTGAACATTCCAGACATGGATTACCCAAACATTTTTTTGATGGATTGGATTCCCCAAATTATCAGTAACTTGTCTGAATTACTCATAAATATGCATTCCTCAAAATATTAAGACATGTTCACTAATAGGCAGTCCACTGTAGCCTGGATAACTTGCTCCAGGCCATTGGTATGACTTGATAAACACCTCATAAGGCCAAGCTACTCATGTTGCTCACATAGAAGCAGATCTATGATTTTCTGCAAGCTAAACACAGAGAAATTTATCTTTTGGACTGTCTTATAAGAAAATAAATTCATAAAAGAAAAATTAATAAACCTATTCATATGAGATGGCTACAAGAACCTCCAACCCATACAACAAAAACTCTGAGAGTAATGACCATAACCATCATTTCTAATCCCCATCTTCCTTTTGGTAACCAATTTAAGAGAATACTTTGTAAAAAGTTTCCCAAAAGTTTGGGAAATAGGTAGTAGTTTTAGAAAGCTCCTAAATACCTCTTCTATAGACCAGAGACTACTTGGAAGATATTAAAAACATCAAATAAATATGGTGGAAAGTTCAGTACTTCCAGTTGTACAAGGGACATGGAAGAATAAGCATCTACCAGAAAATGAACCAATGATGTATGAGTCACGGGATAGAAAACCATATGCACTTGGTCTTAACACAACAGCTTATGCATATGTTGGGATTGCACAAAGAGAAAGTGCAAGGATGTCCAATTAACAGTTCAATTTTCAAAGAACTTACTGATATGGAAAAAAATGTTATAATTTGTTACCGAAGAAACTATAAGAGAAAATCTATTTCCAACAAAGAAAACCATTAAACAACACACACGGAAAAAGAAGCAGCATCATAACTTACAGCTGTATGCTGAGCTAATGTTGAAAGCTCTTGCATTGTCATTTCTACCTCTTTTCTACCTTGCCTGTGGGTTGTAAGATCTGAATCCAATCTGAAACATCAAATAAACATTTCAAGGAAAATGTGTTCCATGTTAGTAAATGTCAGAAACTTGAAATATGACATTTAAAGCACTATAAAGCATCTACCTTACTTTTGAAAATAACGGCCTAGGTTGTGCCACTGAGGATCTTTACACAAGTCCCCAAATCTAATTACTTCTCTTGAGAAAATATCAAATTCCTCCCTATAAAATGAAAAGAAAAATTTAGAGAGTGTGTTTGTGAATGCAATTAAACATGGGAGATGAACAGAAACTAAACTCCATGAAATTGTGTAGAAAGAATAACAGCATTCATTAGGTCCAAACTCAATGGATAGACATCATACACCTTACAAACATTAGCACATGAAATAACTTCTTTGCACTTCCGAAAAAAAATCATCAAGTCATCATTTCAATCCATGCAACATGACAAGTGAAATTTCCAATCTTCCTGATACTGTACAATAATACATTTAACAGATAAGCCATCAAGAAGGTTGAAAATTGCAATCTTGTGGATACCTTCACAAGTACTAATCATCAACATCTAAGCCTTACCCCAACGGGGTCAGCTACATGAATCCTGTTTCGCCATTCTGTTAGTGCCATATCCATCGTTTAATGACTTAACAAGTTTTGATCATGGGGTCTACTATATGCCTTCTTGGACTCAATTTTCATTTAAAGACATTTTCATTGATCTGATAGTCATTTGTGTTACAAGGTGTTCAGTCATACTAAGATGATGAGGGAGCAAGGATACAATTTTGTCCTCCTCTGGATTTGACTGAGATGAATTTAGAACAAGGAGTTTTCCACCCAAACTTTTATGGGAGGATTTTCTAGATACAATTTCTTAATAATTTGTTATTGTTATAACTCAACCGTGATATGACATGAATGAAAAAGAAGATAAGATGAGATGTTATGCAAAGCTCTGAGCCCATGCAAGAACCTTTTGTCAGCAGCAGCAATGTTAAGTAATTCTTCCATATCTGTAGACACTAGTCGTTGTACTCCATTTGAATATAAAATCTCCTTTTTCAAGAGCTTGACATTTTCCCCTGAAAGAGATTGCAACAAATTTGCACCCTTGACAATGGTATTAGCTACTTCAAATGCCAGAATAGATATTTTATTCCTCCGCAAAGCCATCCCAGAAACAAAGCCACCAGTAGGATTCAAATTTGACATGCTACTTCCAAGTGTGTCTAAGACATCAACAGCCCTCTCCAAGCCAACAATACCAGCCCTTCCCAAAATTGAGCCCATTTGTGGCACCTACAAGAATTGAAAGAAGAGGTTGGGTTTTGATAACAAATTATGAAAGCATATTCCAAAGACAACTCAAATATTCATTTTGTTTCTTAAATGAAATAAAAAAATCATGCATACACCAAAAACATAATAATTTGTATTCTTATATGCATACACTAAAAACATAACAATTTGTATTCTTATACAATACATATTATCTAACTATCACATGGATACCATAAACTTGCTTCAGAGAAATAACAATATATGGCCAACTACTAAAACAGATAGTATCAATTGTAGTGCACCTAATCTCCCTTAATGAACTGAAGCATAATTTTCATGTCAAGGAACTTGAATTCATTTTCACATAATTTTTACAGAATGCTATGTTTCAACATCTACCACAGATGACATTTCCATCATATAGGAACAAGTTACCTAAAGACAGGTGGCATGGGTACATAAATGTTACATCATTTACCAAATGGAATCTTATATGATTTTTCCAACTGAAAAAAGTAATTCCTTGGCTATGTGTATAATGTTTATCTGGTCTCTTATTCTGGATAATGAAGGCATGTGGATCACCAGCCATCTTGAGACCTTAAAAAATTTTTTACAACATTTTGCCAAAGAATTTTGTCACAACTTTTGCTGCCATATGATCAAATATCCATACACCATGCACCTTGTCTGGAATCTGTTGGTGAGCAAATAATTGATGCTTTCTTTGAAACAAGATATTTTTCATGCTTCAGCAAGTTACTACTCTCACCCAAGTCACTCCAGCCTATGTTAACAATTAACTTAGCAAGGAGTTATGGAACATTTTCTACTTGAAAGTGGAATGTAAGAAATGAGTATGGCTCCCTTAAAATGCCACATAATGCAGACTCTAAATGACTATAAATTATCAAGGAATGTAAAACATCAAAGGTAGACCATAATTGATTTATTGAAATGTCTTAATCAGGTTATCAGTTTGCAAATATTTCAGCTCAGGGTGGTTAGGTGTGTTATGATGTTATTCTAAGTGATAATCATTGTTTCTCCTTCATCCATCTTCAGATTAGAGGGAGTGTATCATTCTCATTTTTCAATTCTATTTTAACAATAAAAGCATCTTCTATTATCTTCTATAGTCACTAATTCTCCCTCATCCATCTTCGGAGTGGATGAAGAGAGTGCATAAATGTCATTTTCCCATTCTACCTCAACAACAAAATCATGTTGTGTTGTGCCTTGAATTCTATATTGCAACCTGCTTCTTGACCTGCTCCAAACCAAGTCGAGAAAAACCCAAAGGCAAAATTTCATAGTGGTTTGTGGTGGAAGTGTTGGCAGTATGGACCCAATCCATTCTCAGCTTATGATTCCGGCCTGAATATGTTATATTATGTTGTTTGGGAGTTTTCTCTTTTATGTATCTTTTGGCTTGCAAAAGAAGTGGAGCTTGAGAGATTGGATGTATAGGGGTTTAGGAATTCCATGAGAGAGAGAGTTTAAACAACTTTGTAATCTCCATTGCCATTTTCTACAGTGGATTTCCTCCTTGGCCCGTGGGCATAAGCTATAAGCCAAACCACATAAATCTGTGTGTAATGGTCTTGAGGTTTCCTAAGTTCCGTGTTTTTCTTCATGTTTTCTCTTTTTTTTTTGTCAATTTTTTGAAGGTCTTGGGTTTGTTCTACTGCAGAAAATCATCATCAATCATGTTACAGGAAAAAAAAATTATTCCAACTTCTTGATTTGGGCCTTTGGTCTATTTGTTTTGAAGGGGGGAGGTTTTTGGGGCTTTTTCTGTGTTCAGTAATTTCTTATTGCCATTATTGTACTCTCTTTTCTTCTTCTAATAAATTTTCTTTTTTTTATTTATTACCAAAAAATCATCTGATGTGTCTGAAATGGTTGTTCAGCCTGAGAAATTATCATGATTCACCAAATGATCTCAGTGATGAATATACTGCTCCAAATATATCCAGGATAAATTTAATGGGTAGACAACTGCTGATTGTAGTTTTAGCAAATAACCATCATCTAGGTGCGTGAACAGTTTAATTCCTCTTGATGGTTAAAAATATAAAGCTGGCATCTAGGCTTGCAAGTGATTTGGTAACAGTTGATGGTTCAACAACTTCTACTGATGGCTTTAGCAAAGAACAGGTATGCACGGGATGCAATCTTCTGTAGACTTTGGCAGACTGAACTTTGTTATTAATATTGGTCTAGGTCAGAAAATATAAAACTCACAGACATAAAGTAAACAAATAAAGTGATGTAGGATCACACAGCCTTATATAGATTTTAAGTTAGCTTTATATTATTGAATGAGGGATTAATCTGGTAAAATTTCAAAAACTTAGATCACAACAAACCATTCACTTAAATATCAGAAAACCAAACATAAGCTTTGGCAAGGCCCAATGTTGATATTGGATAAATATGCCTTCCCTCCATTAAGAGGAATGAATTTCCTCAGTGGAATCAGGATGCTGTCAGTGATACTTTCACTTGCAAGAAATTTTAAGAAAAAAAAATCACTAGAAGGCATCTCACCTTGTTGTACATTAACATTATAGAATAAGCTACATTGGCTAATGTTGCAAAATGGTTGGAAGCTTTCAGCATGGTTTCTTTTCAGAATGAGTGTGAAATGTTTTATCTGAAATTTCATGGTTAGGGGAAAATGGACATCTTATTCAGGAAATGCAGGGTCTGAAGAATGTAGTTACAAAGACTTTCTGCCACCTGACATATGATTTACCACTAAATCACCACCTTCTAAGGGTCCTTATGGATGTCTATGGTGTCCTCCCCACATGGAACAAGGATGAAATAGAGAACCAAGGGAGACAGTTTTAGTTTGCCTCATCAGCTTCCATGTGAAGTATCATGTTATTATGGCATTGAAATGGCAATCACGTTCAGAAGCTCTAGAAGAGACATATCCAAGACCGCAATTGATTTGTTGATATAGGACGAGTTTGCAAAAATTAAAGGCGTCCTTATCTTTAATACTCCTGGGAGTATAGAAGCAAGTTTATTAGAAACTCTTACCAAAGATGTTGAGGAGAAAGTGTTAATTGTTCAGTAATATTAAATTGTATCAGACACAGGAATCCTATCAAGGATCCAAGATCCATTGGCCGTTTCCAAACAGATAAGTTCATTATAGATTCTTTGGCAAACTGTAGGCATATGGGAAAGAATAATCCCTTGCAAAGAAGATAGTGGAAAACAGTCAGTTTGATAATAGCTACCTTTTCCATTGTAGCACCAGAAATTCGCCAGCAACAATATTAATAGATAAAGATTTTCTATCTAATTTTGATACAGATGAAAATGAAAAAATGAAATGTATCCATCACTTAACCTAGAAGAAGAAGCGAAAGAAATTCCAATGCCCTGAATAAAGGACAACGAGAGTCTTACCTTACTAGCCCCTGTTCTTACGGGAGACGGCTTCAACTTGCCTGAGGATAATGCCAGCTCGCCGGAGTCGTACTTGTGCGGCGACTTCCCATAGACATCCGTGTCGGAAAACGAAGGAGGATCCTTTTCTTGCTCACTGAAGCTTTTCGTCGTCTTCAACTTGGTAGAATTTTCCGAACTCTTTGCAAGAAACTTCGTACCACCTTTGGCAGTTCCACCGGCACAGACACCTCCCATTGTGCTTATTACAATATAAGTATAAAGAGTCTACGAAATCACCAAATCAATCAAAAACCCTATCTCAGACGATGAAACCCTAAACAACAAATATCCAGCTCTTGCTGCCTCAAGCTGAGGAAAAATCGAACTAACAGTAAGGAAAAACGACTAAAAAAAGGAAAACTCACAAGATTACATACAGGACAGAAAAATTCAACAAAGATAGAGAAGAAAAAAAATTCGATTGATCCATGTTCCAGGAGAGATTATGAGATAAGTTTCGGAAATGGAAAATTTTGGAAAAGAATTACAGTTACAGTCGAAAGAGATGGTGAGAGACAGTATACCAATCGATAAATTGTAATTGGAGAAGAGCGTTGTAAGATCGTTCAGCTTAATCGTAATCGAGATTAACGATGATTGTAATCCGAGCGTTACCAGTTGAATCTGAATTCGAATTGAATGAACGCTATTCAACAGTGAGAGAGAGAGAAGTTTTCTTCTCAGCCTTCATATGAACGATAGTGGGTTCGTCCCGCCCGCTCGCCGTTGGGTTTGGTGTCTGACATCAAATACAGCCCTGGAATTGGACCGTTTTTACTATATTGCCACTGCATTGAAAAATCTAGGAACCCAAAGAACCGGAAGGGTTGCTCATGGACATGGGTCATGGGCCTCATATGGCCGGGCTTAGATTTCGAACGTGGACAATGCAGAAGTGGGACCCAAAGATTTAATATTAGGATAGGGATCCTCTCCCCAAGCTGAGAAGTGAGAAGAGTACTTCTGGTTCAGTGCCAAATGCCAATTTACTCCATCACCCTTCATTCAATGGCTTTGACAGCATCAATAATAAACAACATCATAAATACGTGAATCCTACATTTTTGACTCGTGGGAAGAAAGGATCATGTGGTAGATATAACAGGTGTCAGGAAAGCACGCCAGCGCAGTATAGCAATAAATTGTTTTGTGTAAAAACCGAAGGGTACTATCGACATTTTAGGAATAGATTTACGTCAGTTGAGACTTTTTCGTACAGGGTTAGGGGGAGGGGAGCTACCGCCTACAGGTGATTTGACCAAGGAAATAAATAAGGCCAAATAATAAAAAAAAAATAACAAAGTCCACGGCCGGAAGTTGACGTGGAAAGCGAGACATCGCAACGTGGCAGACGTTAGATCGCTATTGATGGGTCCAGAACGTTAATGTCAGATCAGATGATTAGAGCTTTTACGCAACGAGGACTTAAAAGAAAGGAAATAAAAGACTGGGACTGGAAGTATTCATTCAAGTATATAGTATGAGTATATGAAATCTACTCTTCAATGGTTCACACGCTTAATAACTCGCACACGCGCGGGAAAGATTTTGTCATTTTGTCCAATTCTATTCTAGATATCTGAGCCCCAACTCCCAAGGCTTCCCGTTCCCGGCTAGCTGGCCAACCCCCCAGGCCCCAACTTGAATTGGTGATAGTCCCAAGCAATCACGTGATCCATCGTATGGGTTGACCTTCTTTTTAATGAGATCCGTACCGTACCACCTCTGCATTATGTTACTTCGGACCCTTGGATCAAAGGCCGCTTCTATTGATCGTGATGTCATGGAATAGCTAACGCTGTAGATCCTGCGCAGAATAAAACATGGGATTGGAGTCGTTGATTTTGGGGTTCTAGCAGAATATCTTTGAGTTCGTGTACTATGATATCATAGCTTTCGAGTAAAAGATTCCGATCGCATTGTAAATGTTAGGTTTTCCTTTGCTTCACACTTTTCTACAGCCCTAGATTTGCGTTCAAAACTCAAAAGTCTTAGGAGTAAAGGGGTTTCTCTTCTATACGTCACCATGTTATGCAAATGTCAGGGGCCTTTGATGCTGGGGCATATACGGGTTGAAGAAATTAAGAATTCGGGCTTTGAGAGATCGATCAAAGGGGATGGATTGAACTATTTTTTAGTCCAAATATTTGACTTTTTTATTAGTAAAGTGATGAAAACGAGAAATAATTAATTAATACTGCCAAAGCATTTCCATCGTTTTTGTCAATCCCGTTGGATTTGCACTAAACGACAAATTCCCACAGCAATTTAGCATTGCATGTTGACGTTATGGAGGAGTTTTTGAACCGGAAAATCTTCTTCTGCCTTCCATTGAAGAAACAACTTTTTTTATGAATAATTTCCATTAATTTAATGAATATTTCTCCCCGCACCCCTCCGGAAAAAAAAAAAAAACACCTAACCGGTCCAACCACACACACTGTCTGTCTGGTGACTCTGGTCTGCCACGATTGGTGCCGTGCCGGCTGACAAATCTAAAATTTTGCTCAAAGCTCCCACCGGCGCCCCACCCCCTCCGGGCCTCCCCGAACGCAAAACCACACACACCCTCCCTGACTGCCGTGAATCATGAATTGTGCCGTACGTGCCGACAAATCTTACAGCCCAACCTTCTTTATTTTCCGACTACCGCTGGAACGGTCTCGCTACTCCCTACTCTGACATAAATGATAAATCGGATCACAGCGAGACGGAATCTGCTGCTCACATAGGGTGCCTCACACGCACATCCTATCATGCATTAGAACATCTCTCGTATTTGTTAGTTATTTTTCATAAAAATTGTTTTCAATGCACGGTGGATGAGCATGTGAGGCGCCCAAGTGTGAATAGCAGATCCTGTTCTCACAGCGACTTAGCGACATTCAGAGAATGAAGCTATTTCAAAAGATTTTTTTTTTCAGGAAACATCAACAAAATGAAATATGAATGAAATCACCTTTATTACAGTCACATTTTTCTTTCATAGTTGTCCATGCTTTCTACAATTGATTTTGTTTCAAAAAAAGAAATTTGAAAACAGGTTGGACAACGATATCCTTCTCCTTCTCATTCTGGTTAATTTTTAAAATAAAAACAAATGTTGGAGTGTATATAATGCATGATTTACGAAAGATGAAGAGATATATTGTATCATTTAAAACAAAAAAAACATGTTTTTCAAAACAAAAATTCAGGAATATATTTTGTATTTCAATTTTAGAAATAAACACATACATACACAAATTTACATCCAAGAACATGTTTTTCATATTTTTATTTTCAAACCAGATGATTATAATTTTTGGAACTCACAACAAGAAAACCAAATTACATTGAAGAAAGTTATGCTTCAAGTTTTATTAAGAACATCTTTTAGTTGAGAGAGCATCTTAGATCACATACAATTCCAAAATAATAATAATAATAATTCGAAGAATTAGAAAATTGCGGCTGTTTGACAAGCTAAAACATAGGAAAACATATTTGACAAACTTTAATTAGATGCTATACATTCTAGTTTGAATGACATGGTTTTAAAACTTGGCATGGAGATTGAACCGCTTTTTCCTCTTGGTTGGTAATTAAACGATCAGATCAACTGGTTAGCCCGTGATGTTTTCATTGTAAAAAATTTAAAAATTAAAATAATACATTAAAACACTATCTCATATTAATCATTACTTATAATGCATAAAAATGCAAAAATTAAACCAAATGTCTCCTTATGACTTTGCCCTCACAATAAAGTGGGGGAAATTAACAAATAAGTATCCTTTGATCATAAAGAAGTCCACATCCTCAAAAGCATGTGAGGAAATAAATAAATCAAGAGAAAGACTTTTGATGAAGTTAGAAAAAAAATAAAGAATAACATGATTTATTGCTTTTATTCTATTCTAAATATACCTTGCTAATCTTTATGTGTTTTTTTGGACATTAACTTATAAGCATATCTATTTAAAATCAACTTACAATATTCATGTAGATTTTTTTTAGAGAAATATGAGACAAAGACTACAACAAAGAAAATAAACAAAGGGAGCAAACTAAAGATCTAAAGCAACTAAGATCACCATTCACCAACTCAGAAACTCTTAAGCTATGTTTGGTTTGAAGGAAAAGGTAGGGAAAGGAAGGGAAATGAAGGAAAATATATACAAGGTTTGTAAAGGTTTCTCTACATTTTCCTTCCTTTCCCTACCTTTTCCTTCAAACCAAACGCAGCCTTAAGGAGGGCGGAGGCTGCTACTAATCGAAATATTTGCCTGATCCCTTTGGAGGGGATCAGACCATACGGGCTCCTATCAACACTCCTTCTCTAGATTGAATACCCAAAAAAAACTAAAAGCTAAGGGAGTGTTCTTTTTTCGGATTTTGAGAGGGGGGAAATTGGTCAATGGGATTTTGGTTCCCATTGACCAAGAATCTCATGTTCTTTTTCAGATTTATGTGGGGACCAGGGAAAGTTTATTTTACTGGGTATCACTTACCTGGGTGAGTAAATGACTTTCCCACCTATGGGGAAAGCTGCCAACACTTGAATGAGACAAAAATGTCATTTTTAATAATAGATTTTTATGGTTAAAATGACCATTGCCTTATTTACATGAGAAATAAAAGAGCTTGGGTAAATGCACTTAACCGGGTAAGTGTTTCCCAGAAAAACTTACCCAAGTAAATGCATTTACCCAGGTAAATAATTTACCAAAAGCAAATGAGGCCTAAGTGTATATAATCATATGTATTTAAATCGGTTCTAATTGAATCATATAAGGTTGGATGGGGATGGCATGATGAATTATAAACAAATCACATTTGGATCTCCCTTAATTGGATGAGGATTGAATTTGAATGTCTTCATCTTGTCTACCATCCCTCTTTTATCCTTTTTTTTTTTTTACATAGGACTGGTCTAGACTCTAGAGGTTCTCTAGACAGCTTTTACACTAATGCCACAACATCTTCTCACATGGCAAGATTGAGTTCATGAGTAACTGTGCACCATATTGCAAAAGAAAGGCGCAACCCTTTTCAGCATTACTTTAAGAATTAATTCTTGGATTGGTAGTGGTTGGAAGAAAGGCTATCAGCACCAAATTTTCTTTTCAACTTATTCAAGTATTAAATCTAGCTCAATCTTCACAAATGTTGCATTTGATTGCACACATAAAACAAAGGAAAACAAATGATTTCTTAGGAAAATAAATATTGAAGGGGGAAATAGATCTTTTTCTTAATTTTTCTGGTGTTTGGTTTAACTTGGAAAATAGGCATAAGTCGTTGAGAAATATGCTTTGTGAGATTTGAATAGACCAACCATCCATTCAGAAAGTGACTGACTTAAGTTGTTAATTAGAAAGAATTAACACTATTTTTCTAGAACTGGTACTCAATGTTTGGAATTCACTTATTTTTCAAGGCCTTTTAGAATGAGAAAACTTTAGCTGTTGGGGGCCAACTGACTGGGCTGTTGGGAAACCCATTCAGTCCCTCCGGTGGTTGTCTTTTTAATAAAGAATATTGAGGGCAATTACTCTTTTACCCCACACTCATGATAACATGTCATGTGGAAGAACATTCTCAATAGCCAAAATTTTTTCTCTTAAAGTGTAACCAAACACAAGAAGTATCATCCTCTTTGGAAATTATATGTTATGATTCATTTTACATGCAACCAAATGTAGGGATATATTTAAAACCGAACCAGCCCCACCAGTTTTTGTATTGTTCCAAACCAAAGCTGAACCGAATCAATCAATTAATCAGTTGATCGATTCAGTTCTTTGTTTTTTTTTTTTCTTTTTACATTTATAATATATACTATAAATAAATATATAATATATAATGCATATATGCTTGTATATAAATATATATATTGGTTGGTTCAGTTAATGATCAGTTTTCATAATGGTTAACCAAAACTGAACCAATACATATGGTTTTTCAAAAACACTGAACTGATTGGTTTGATTAACCAGATTTTTGGGTATGGTTTTATTGGTTTAATTTTTTTAATTTTTATTTTTCTCATGAGCACCCCTAACCAAAATGGAAAAAGAAAATAAAAAGCAACATGATCCTTTTCCCTATATAACTATCAATCTATTACTTTTTTCAAAACATTACTTAAAAAAATATAAATAAAAAAGGCAGAGTAAAAGGCTAGCCTTTTCTGTTACCTCCTCTAATCTAGAGGTGGGAAGCAAGGGAGGATCGATTTTTTTTAATAGATTGTTTTATACAAGAATATATTTGATAATTGATGGGTTAACGAGCAAGTAAATGTTGGAAGTAGTAAATAATCTGAAGAGCATGTAAGGATCGTTTTTCTTTGTAGTTTGTTGTTTTCTTCTCCATTCACTAGTATAGTTAGTGTAGTGCATCAAAGTGCCCCAGCTGTTGATCTTGATTTGCATACAAGCCACGAAAACAGGCCAGCCTAACTTAGAGTTTTGAACCGTTGATCTTGATTTGATGACTCCTTGAATGGGCTCAATTATTCAGTCGTTAAGACAAATCAATTGGAACATTTGTTGCATGAAGTTTTCCAAATAGGGCCCATAAATCAAAGTCCAAAATACAAGGATTATGTAAACAAGTCCATGCAAACCCCTGAGTCGGTGAGTCCTGCCCGTTGCCCTACAGATATGGTGATGAGACCTATGAAAAGACAGACTCAAGACAAAAAGTTGGACATGTCTTTTTACAGGTCCCATGGCCCATGGGAGCATGGGACATGGGAAGTCAAGAGTTAATTATTAGCTTCCTCCCGAGGTATTTGTATTGATAAAAATATGCAACCTTTAAAGGTGGAGGGCCATGCAACCAAAAAAAAAAAAAAGTAAGGCTTAAACCCTATATTTTGCTGATGAAAATCCCGAACCACGACATTGTGAAATAAAGACTCTATTCTCAGAAACTAAACTAGTAGGGAAAACTAGGGTTGTGACTGCCTGTGCGGATTTGCTACACTTCATTAAAGTTGAAACAAGCGTCCTATTACACACGTATAATTAACGAGGCACTTGTGATCACAGACTGAATGAAAGTAAAAGAAAAAAAAAACAGTGCAGGAAAATAGGAAAATAGAGTAAGAGATCCCAACACTCTGTAAGACTGTAACTGCAGTGAGAGATCAGAATCAGATCAAAGTTTGCACAAGGATTCCGTCCATGGACATGGGCATTGGGCAACAATTGCTGAGCCATGTTGAATTTCATTTTATATATAAGCCAATCCAGAAGATCGACTTTCCCATAACCATAATCATCCTTCCGCGCGATCCAAGGCTTAGAAGCCCATTTTAGATTTTAGAAAACCCATTAGTTTCCTTGGAAATTATAATGATATGCGAATAAAATAGTTTTTTATAGGCTGCAAATAAAATAGTTTTGAAGGCCCACAGTGGCCTACTTCTACTTCACACAGTTGGGTTGGCCTGTGGACTTTCAAATTACGTGTGATTGTGTCTTTGTGTAGCTATAAGATGGAAACAGTTTCAACTTTCAAGTAGCCGGGGTATTCTGATACTTTACTACCAAAATTTTGAACACCCTTCTCATGAATTATAATATACTTCATTGAGATAAAGGCCATAACTCCGCATTTCTTCCTTAAAACCCAAATTACATCTCATAGTAGATTAATCGATTCAGCCCTAATAGACCAAACCCATCAACTCCCATACACGGATATAGTAATCCCTGTATTGAAAAGTTCGGATCTCCTGTCCACATTTATTGCAGGCACACATGGAGAACTAGTATTGGGCAGGAGATCCGGTGTCTATAATGACACTGTCAATAATATCATAAATTATATAAGAAAAAAAGAATAAGATGACATACATATAAAAATTGGAGATGGAGATGTTCACTCATCACTTTTCACTTGTTCAGTACTATTTGCAGGGAGTGAAATCGCAGGGTACCCTGCCAAAGCCTGAGTTGGCCCTCTTAAATCGCAATGCTGTCAGGAGGACCTCTCGTGGAGAGCCCATTAAGGCCCAGTTCATGTGGGAGATGACCTCAAGTGTATGATACGTAAACCTGATGCTGTTGTAGGAATTAAGAAGTGCAGCGGTTCCTTCTCTTAAAAGGGTCCTGTACGGGTCTCCCTTCCCTTGGAGCCCTTGTCGTAGTGTCATGTCGGTCCCATATTTCCTTGCTGCGATCAGTCCGAAAGCAACAGCTACTTTTGTATCTGGTTCCACCACCTTCCAGTAACATTGGTACTGTGGCATCATCCAGTTCCTAGCATATCACATCCGTCTGATCAGGATAAAAGCTCTAAGAAAGAAAACTGAAGGGGCATTGATTTAATGTTGAAACAATCAAACAACAGAAGAAAATTGAAGGAGCCACAGTTTTGGATCTGGGCCACAGGGTAACATTCAAGAGTAGCCTTGATGCTTGCCAGGTGTTGCATATTTAGGGAATCAGACTCGCCCTGGATAGTAACCAACTAACCACTCAAAAGAGGATAAGTGCCCACATTAAAAAGTGTGGCATATATACTTGCGGTGCAATTACTGTGGACTTGCATTCAGTAAGGTGTGATCGTTCGGTGCTACACTCTTTTGCTATGCACTTACCGTTAGTCTGTGACAGGTGTTCTATGGAAAGTGTAAACAGGGTAAATGTAAATCTATGATGCCGGAAAAAGTATGATAAACCCCCGTGAATTTTTTGATGAATGCCAAACTAATTAGTTACCACCTTTAATGATATGGGTTGATTTGCTATAAGTAGTTATTTAGATACTATGCTTTTACGTGGGAAGCAAACTTACTGGGAGGGACAGGCGGAAGCTTGAAAGAAAGGAATGTGCGGCATCGGAGGGAACCTGGCCGATGGAGGACTTGGCAGTGTCACCACAGGAGGAGTCCTTGGGACCACCGGGACAGGTACCGGGTTGGCTGATTTCGGGCAAAAGGACATGGGTTGGGCAGGTTGAGAGAGCAAGGAATCCACGGTATAAAGCTCCATATCAAACATCCTGAACATAAGCCTTAGGTTCCGGGCAGGCCCCGCCGATGCTGCACAACCGGTTGGCGAATCTTGGCCGCTGTTGGACACCTGGGCATAACAACCACTTAAGTCGGGTGTGCCTTCGAATCTCATGGCGTAATTCCCAAACCAGTTGGTTGTCTCTTCCTTCCACATCGTCGCCTGCCCGTTGCTTCCTCCACACACGACCGTAACCTTCACCCCTGCAAATGGTTACGAAGTTCACACACACACACACACAAATAAAATACATATTTTCTTTAGTAGCTTTTAAACGCCAAAGTAGAGAACAGAAAGGGAAAATGATCGAATGGTGACTCACCGTAGAGTGGGTAATCGAAAAGGCTTTTCTCACCGTCCCTGCATTGATCGCAGAAGACGGTGCCGGTAACCATGGCATCGCCTAGTGTTTCACCAACGGACGCAACGAGAAGGAGAAGAGTTGATAAGAAGAGTTTCTGGAGAGAATCCATGGAAAGTGGAGGATTGTTGGACAAACCAAATATGATTTTGATGAGTTTGAGGAGTTCAATTACAGACTGAGAGAAAAGACCGGTAAATAAAGCGGGTGAGCGGGGGCNGGGGGGGGGGTGACTCTTCTCTACTCTCAACTGTCGCCATTTATTGAACGAGGGCTAAAGAGTTGGAAAAGAAGCTTTGCATATCCGAAGTACGGTAAATCATTTAGCTTTTTCCATACCGATTAAGACCTGGCTTTACTGTCTTGAATGTATCGGATTTAATCATTTGCTTTAACTTTTTAAAATATAAAAAAACTTTAAAAAAGTTAATTAGTTTCAACTTTTATATATAATAAATTAATATATAATATACTGAATTTATTATATATATATATATATTCATATATACTATAATATATAAAAATACATATTCTTATAATTCTAAATATAATTATATAATTTTAATATATTAAAATTAATAAATATTATAATATAATTGAGTTTAAGTTTTATTTAGATAAAATAAAATCAAATTCGAATACAATCAGATTACATAAATACACCATCTAAATTCAAAATAATTCAATTAGATATTACAGATCATCATTGACAGGCTTAAGAATAATAGAAATTGTCCCCGAGCAATTTAGTATATATTTTTTTAAACTGTAATAACTACGGGGGCATTTTAACACCGGTCCCTACAACGGATCGCTTCTAACATATTTTGCATTATATTAGGGTGATCATGGGCTGGGCAAAGCCTAAGTCATAGCCCCGCTAAATCTGGCCCAGACTCCGAACCTGACATAAGTAAAAAGGCATTTTGTATCAGCTATACTTCCTTCAAAATTTAGAACATCTGCACTCAAAATTCACAGGTATCATGTCTTCAGCCTTAAAGATTTTGTATATGTTTAGCATTTGTATCAGCCATAACCCTTTAAATTTTAGAACATCTGCACTAAAAAATTCACAGGTATCATGTCTCTTCAGCCTTAAAGATTTTGTATATGTTTAGCATCGGTGCTGCATATACAACACCGTGGGCTATTACAGATAGTCGCATCGCTTACCACGATGACATTTCACTTCGTGGGTCCTTTCTCGCTTAGTAGCTCCTTTTCTTGTGGTTGGACGACCCAGCAGTGTTGTTGCCTTCTCTCCGGGATGGACACAATTTCTTCTAACGCTAGAAGACCACAGGAAGACACCCGGGACCAGAGCATGTCGTGAAAGAAGCACACTGGGCGGACGTGTTTCAACTTTCAATCGTTTTAAAAAAATGGTGTCTTTTTTTTTTTTTTGGAAATGTTACTGTCAGGTAGGACGTTTTTTGGGATAACAACAGTATCTTCTCTTTAGTATCAGTGTTCCATATATGTTTTTAGTATTAGTACCTATTATATAGGAAGTTCACGTCACTGCTACATCATGTCCTCGATTATTGGCAACAACGAGCTCCAAATTGAGAAAATGTCGATTTTGACGTTTCCCCATACCACACCTTGATTTCTAAGGCGTTGTTTAAAACATCATTTTTTTATGAAAAAATGGTTCCAAACATATTACCATTTTCTGGAGCAACGGTTTTTTCAACATGGCGTTGATGTATCACTGTTTTCTGGAACAACGGCATCAATGCCAAACACTGCTTTTTCCTTTTTGCACTTTACACTACTTGCTTCTTTTAAATGTACAGTTTTTTTTCCATTAAATGTAAAATGAAATAATAATATAAAAAAAAAAATAATTATTTATTATTATTATTAAATCACATTCGACTAAGCTAGTTCATGATTTTAAATTCTAACCTCGACTCCCAGGAGTTTGATTTGCCACTGTTAGATTAATGAAATAAAGACGACGAAAACGAAAAAAAAAAAAAGAATAGTACGAATGGACCCAAACATATGTGAAATCATTAAATATAGTGTGGGTAGATATCATTCAGCCGCTTTGTACGTTAAGACCGTGGATTTCTTGTAGACATTTTAAGATCCAAACACTACTAATCTACCATTTGCGTCCTGCTGGACAAAACCACTCTGGCAGAAAGAATTAAAGATGGATCCACAATGAACAATGAATGGGCTATGGACCCAAGGACCCAATTCCATGCAGTAAAGTTTGAATTAAGCACTTGAATCTAATGAATTCGTGTTCCCAATCCTCGTAATACTTTATTCATTTATTTATAGCCGTTATATGGTTGGAAGGTTTTTGGCCTTTTGGCGGTGGAGGATACATGTGCTATGAGTTGGGCATGTAGTCAGTGAAAGAGCATTGATGAGGAGAGAAAGAGAGAGAGGATTAACAGCTTACGCTTCTGGGGTCTTCCATTTTTAAATTTCAACAAACATTTACGGCTTTTAATCGTGGTGTTGATGGAATGGCAGGTTTCTTCTTTATTTATCACTTTGTTGTCCCTCTATTCTTCTTATATTCTTGTGGCCTAGTTTCATTTCTTTTTTTAGGTGAAAGTAATGACTTCCATTGACTGATAAGAATTTGAATTTGATCTTAAGAAACGTCTTCGCAACTCCTTATAAGTGTGCATTGAAAATATTTTTCTATAAATAAAAATATACAAGTAGAGAGATATTTTCAAGAGACTGTAAAGATGGTGTGAAAACGGTTTTATGAGAATCAAATCCTAAATCGACTGATAACATGGATAATGAAGATGTTAGAGATGCAATACTATAACATATGATTTTGAAGGACCCAAAACTTACGACTTAAGATTGTACGCATCTAGGACTAGGGGAGGTTGTATCCATCTTGGAAGGAGTTTGGGTTTCCTGCACTCGGTCTCGTGAATGATGGGTGCACTCCCAATCAAATTGTGGCATCTAAGACTTCGCATGGCACTTCACTTCACTTGTGCTAGTCATTCAAAGTATAAACAGCCGGTTTGCCTTGTTATCTCTTGTTTGGGAAACAAGTGTTTATTATTAGTGTTTATCTAATAAGAATTTATTAGTGTTTGAGAGGTGTTTATTCTATGGTTTTCAAACCGAATCGGACTGAAAAAACTGGGAATTGGTCAGGTGATCGGTTCTGTTTTACCCCATAACTATTATTTTGCCAAAAATAATTGATTTCGTCAATAAATCGCTGGCCTGGGTAGTTGAATCATCCAACAGTTTGGCCATTTTTTATTTTTTTGTCAAAATAGGCCATCCGTTCAATTTAAATGATCGGACCGTTCGACCAAAAAACCGGACCCTTGACCAATTCGTTGTCCCATTTAGTTTCAAAAACCTTGGTTTATTCAAATTTCTTATTTTTAAAATAAACTTTTCTTTGCATTGAGTGTTTGATGAGCTGCTTATACCATAAGACTTATTGTCAAAATAATGACCAAAGTTTGGTCACTTGATAAAATCGAGTATGGTTAAAAAAATTGCAAAAAGAGTGATGGAAGAGGTTTCTGTTTTTTCTGGACTCGAATGCCCTTAATAAAAGATGTGAGTATGTGACTATTTTCTCGTTCTGTGTTGTCTTGACTCTTGAGTCTCTCCCTCTTCTCACATCTCAGAGTTTCCCAAAGTGATATAGAGACTTGGCTTTCAACATACACATCAGTCAGTGAGTATCGCCTTATGAGAACGATTCCCTTTGAACATCTCTCCCAGGTAAATAATGTCATGTTTGCAATGCACATTTTGGGATCACATGCCAACAAAATATGTTCCAACTTTCAACACTCTACTAATATCATATGATACCGTACATCTCAGGTCCTATTTTTATGGTGGGCTCTAATTTCATGGTGAAATATGTGGATCAAATTTATAGGCTCAGTTTGGAAAGAGTATAAATATAAATATATAGTATAAATACATACAAAATATAAGATTTTATATTCTATATATTTGTATTTATACCCCTTTCAAACTGAACCATAGGGTATTGGAACATGTTTTATTAGTAGGAGATCCCAGCTTATATTCAAACTGGATTTCCTGCCCACTACTCTCTACCCACATTATGAATTGTAACCACACATCGCCATTTTGAATTGTGAGATTGTGTGATATGCAATTCAAGACGGATAAGGTGTGGACAGAAAAAACTACCTTCTCTATACTATAAACATGACAAAATATCAGACCCACTAAGTTTCTTAATGAATCCTCTTCAAAGTGTCTCATGACCGGGCCAGTATCAGTGTATTAGTCTAAAAAAAAAAAGATATTATCATACACCTCCCTGTATTGGGAGATCCCTCGAGTTCTGAATGGCTAGAGAAAGTTGAAATTAAAGAGTTATATTTCAATCAATGTTTTAAAAAATAACCGTTGAACGGTCTGACAAAAAAATTAAAATATATATAATTAAAATAAAAATTGGCCAAAATCGTTGAACGGTTCGACCACCTGGGTTAATGAACCATTGACTGATTCAACGATTTTTTGCCAAAAGTCAAATTTAGGATAAAACAAAACCAGTTACTTAGACAATTCCGAGGCTAAATGGTCCGACTGTCTGAATCAATAACAGTTCAAAAACCATAATTTCAACAATTGCCCGCAATCGTTGGAGATATAAATCGGACCATATCAGGCCCGACACAATTGTGTGGACCGTGCTGTGCCTGAGGTTTTAGGTCTGGCCGGGCCGACGAAAAGGTCCCTCCACTCTTGAATCCAGTCCTTCAATTCAAACTCCTGTCAGAGCTTTCAGACACTTCATCCCAAGATGAGACCCGAGCCAAACTTGCTGGCGGCACTGCAACCAAACAACATTTCATGGGTGCTTTATGCTTTCATCTTCAAAGTTACATGGAGAGCAGGAGGCATCCGACACCTTTAATTCTCTTGGAAAGATTCAATTTGGACGGAACGGCACCCATTAAACACCACCATATAGGAATATTACTGCTATCGGCTGAACAGACTGGACTCCATTGGAAGATAATATAGATTTTTTTTTGGCCTTTTTTTATTACAGTTAAGTTGGACTGCTGAACTGTTGAACCCATGACCAAACAAACTCAGTCCCACCGAGATTTTGATTTTAGTGAGTTTCATGAATTAGAAAAATCTTCCGCCTGAACTAATTAATTCTCATTTTCATAAGCCTGCAGCCCTACATTGGTATATAACCAATGTTATCAAACTGGAATGGCCATATATATAGGATTGTTTTACTGTTCAATTCAACCGTTGAACTCACCCAAATGATAAATACAAGCTGCTAACTAGTACTAGTAGGAAATCAAAAGTTGTGCTTCTTCATGACTTCTTTAATTTATAGTTAACCTATTTGTGTTTATCTTGTCTCCTATTATTGCGGTGTGGAAGGATGAATGGGTGCAAATGCATTTGAACCTGTAGCGAAGTTCTGCTATACGATTGCTGTTGATCTCTCATCTGCCAACATTTCGGATCTTAACTTTGGGATGGATTCAAACCCTATTCAAAATGGAGCCCGTTATATTCTCGGCCGGATAGATGGAGATTAACATCTCAAGGAGAAAGCTAAAGCAAGAAAGCCTTTATATCATAAATTTGTAACTCTTTGATAAAATGTAGGGTTATATTATGATGGACTAGTGGTGAGAGAATGCCCATATCACCAGGCAAGCTTTTCTTTCTTTTCATATTGTTATAGACATAGTTATTAGAATTTCATTGGTTCAGACATTTTAGTTAGATAATGTATTTTATGTAAATATTCCTTTCTTGTCTGAAGAAAAGGGAATTGTTGATTACTTAATACAAGAGGATTCTTTTTGTATTTCAGAATTATTTATGTACATCTATGAAAGTTTCAATTAAAAAATTTTAGAATTATTTAAATATTATAGTGGAATTATATACTAATTTTAAAGTATTTATTCAAAACAAAAAAATTAATTATAATAGATTTAATAATATTCATATTATTAATAATTCTATATTTTTACCAAACTCATCATGAAATTATGTAGTAACAATATAAATTATAATTTTATGAATTATTCAATTTAAATGCTATTCAAATAATAAAAATTAACATTAAAAAATAAAACATTATTTAAATATTTCAATAAATAAAATAACATTAAAATAAATAATGAAAAAATTAAATATTTTACATATTATTTAAATATTTAACATGACTAAATTTTAAATAGTTAAAATAAAAATTATGTAATAAATTAGAAAAAAAATAATCATAATAGATTTCATAATATTCATATTAATAATAATTTAATATTTTACAAAATTAATGACGAATTATGTAATAATAGTACTAATTATAATTTTATGGATTATTAAATTCAATAAATAATTAATATTTTAAAATTTTAAATAAAAATATTATTTAAATAACTAAATAATATTGTAAATAAAGTTTTTTCACTTATATCAATTAATAATTATAGAAAATAATTTTTAAAAATATAATATTTATTAGTAATAATTTTACAATAATAGTGTATATTCATTATATATATATATATATGTATATATATATACTAAAATTAATATTTATTTTAACTTAGGTTGAGAGTTTATCACCCAAAACCGATTGGTCATTAGTGAAAACCTACCAACTCGAGTTGTATCATTTTGGGTCTATTTTAGGTTTGGTTTGTTTGTTCAAAAGATTTAAACTTAAAAATTAAATTTAAATTTAATAAATTATAGTGGTATTATTAAAAAAATAAATTTATGATATAAAATATTTTAGACTAAGAAATATGAGAATTTTCCCACTTTTCCGTATTAAAAAGTTATATTTAAAATATAAAATATTAATATATATCTATAATCGAGTTTGGTTGAGTTGAAAAATTGATAAACTAAAATAAACTACAAATCTACAATCCACCTCAGAAATCTGAAATTACAGCCCTCTCCTAATCTACTAGTAGCCCCCCTATAAACCACATCCTGCCCATGGATTTGGCATGAATCCATGGTCAGGATTCATCCCACCTGTGCGGTGGAGCTAAGATTTCTAAGAGTGGATTGAACAATAAAAACCCCTTTTTTTTGCCAGAAAAGAGGATGAAAACCGGGCCAATGTAAAATTTTGAACCCATCATGTTCATTTTATAGTTGGAAATAGAATTCATAGATTCTTCAAATTAACTTGTAGAACTCAAGGAATTTCCAGCAAATGACAGGTAAGAACTAAGAACTCGTCTTTGATAATTGATACATGCTTTTCCACATTCAACCCTCGTGAAGGGTGACCACTGACCCAGATATCACATGACATGAGATGAGACTCTGACAGAGCGTAGGATGGAAAAAGAAAAGGAAAGAGAAAGAGTGGAAAGGTGCATACGATATAATACATACACTTCCGAAAAAAAAAAAGAAAGAAAATCTTTCCTCCGTTGTTTAGGAGCAAATAAGGACATAATTTCTCTTGCTTTATTTGTCACGAAATTAGAATCAAAATCTGCTAAGCACAGAAACTTCATTTAAAAAATATAGAAACAATATGCATACAAATAATTGAGTGCGCTCATCTCTCGGCTAGATACGAGTCCAAACCTAAAAAAATAATAAAAACAAGCTACTTAAAAAAAAAAGCTACAAAAACTGGCTGTCCCGAATTCCACAGTAAACCCCCCAGATGGGATTAAAACAAAATTGAAGAAAAAACAAAAGTAAAATTGGACTAATAAACTAATAATCTTATCAATCCGACACCTCTTCAGCAAAAGTTTTTTTGTAGCTCAGCCTCCAAAGTCGTATTGCTACAATCTCTCCATCCTCAGTTTACAGCAACGCCTTCATTATCGTTGGTTTTACTAGCACTGCACACAAGACTACTACTGTGAGAATTTAAATAAGGTTCGAAGCCCAAAGCAAATGATACAGATAGATTGCTAGACTACAAGCATCAGGATTCAGGAGTGAAAGCCGGTCCGAGCAACCACTACCCCAAAATCCCAATTCCCTTCCCTCTCCCTTTTTGTTGCAAAACAGAATTTGGATCAGATGTCTGTGGCACATGGGGCTATAGGGCACCCACAACTAATTCATACTTACCCGTGTTCTTTAATGTTTGCTCACATATATAATATCAGTACGGCCATATTACAAGCTTATTTGAAGCATTATAATATATGCACGGTAAGATTTAGTCATATAATGCAGACTCAATTTCTTACAATAGACACATATAGGTGGGATATCTGCCAATTTACAAGGAAATAAAACAATACAGTAGTTTGAAAAATTATTAACTTCCTACCGGCTTATAAAGACTACCTGGAAAAAAGATGGAATAATGAATCAAGGCTGCTAAAGGGATAGCGGGTTCATATCAACTACCATATTTGTGTAAATCGTGATATAAATACAACAAGTAAAAAAGATAATAACAGCCTAACCTGCAGCAAGACATGGTTTAATTCCTCCAAAATGACATCAAAGTTGTGTTACCACATAGAGGTTAACATGCACAAAACAGAGGAACAAAGTAACTGAAACATCTCTTGATTCCTTTTCAAGCTAGTAGTATTATCAGTTAATTGATTATTGATTTTATCCTGCTTTTTCCTTGCAGCAACAGCATTGCTTTAACATGCAGATTCCATCTCAACCTTCCAATTAATTTCCTTTGAACTTAAATAAGCGATGATACATGCACTGCACATGCAGTCTAGCTGAAGGAGATGAATGAGACAAAAATAGAGTGCACACATATTAAGGACGGAAGAATGTATCTTGTCTGTGTGTGTGTGAGAGAGAGAGAGAGTATATGAAGGATACAATCAAAAAGCATAAAGGATATATAAATGAGAGATCATGAGAGAACTTTGGGAGTCAACCAAATAGAGTGGAGTTCAACCTTTTACATAAGAGGGTCAAGACAGGTTTTGTAACCAAGTCTGAGCTTACCTAACAATTAACATTCACGGATTATACCAAATTAGTAAGCTGCACTCCTGTCATCAGCATTTACAGTAGATTTTGGAGACATGTCTGCTAGAGCTGCAAATGGGTCAAATCTAATTTAATCCATTTATGTTCAAATTTCAATTGGATCTTATCCATTGGATTTATGTCAGATTGAATGAAATTTGGATTACAATTGGATATCAAATAGTATAAAATAAATTAAACTAAAATTAATCAAAATATTATGAAGTATTAATAAAGTGAACTAAAAATGGCTTATTTTTTGCTATTAACTAAAAATGGCTTTGATACTATATTTTATGAAGAAAATTAATTGAAAATTACTTAAATAAAACTTGAACATATGAAAATTTAGTAAAGGCACAAAATTCAAATCAACTTTACTAACATACAACATAGATTTTAAGTATATATGAGCATATATTTTTAAATTAAATCAAATCTGATTATATTGAATTTTATAGGGGTGGATCCACATGTTGAGAGAACTTGACCAAGAATTTGTTTTACAGATGTTCAGTTAACAGTGACTTGATCAAGATTAACGTGAGTCTTTTTTATAGTAACAAAATCAAGTGAATCTATGCAAGAGAGGCTGACCAAAAAGCAGTAAAATAATATACAATCTGTTCACCATATTCCCAATATATCACAGGGCTATCACTGTAATCTTGACTTTAAATATACAAATTTGTTAATTCAGCTACTAATTTGTGTTTCTTTATTGCAGACTAAAGAAAATGAATTGATACAATATACATTCAGGCTTCCATCACTTAAAAATAAATGAATAAAATAATAACTGCTAGCCATATGAGGAGTCTAACATCAGTTTTGCTATTTAACTAAATCAATTAACTAAGATAGGTATTCATTAACCAAGGTAACAAACAGCTTTCAAACATATGACCCTACTATTTAGCTGAACAAATTTAACATTACCATGAAATAATTCATTGCAACAATGTTATGACTTGAATGAAGTCTAGTAATAAAAAACTTAGAACACAAGAATTAGGATTTCATGGATATCAGAAGCTACCTATGAGATTACTGAGTAATATTTGCATAACCAAACTTAAGCAATTCAGAAAATCAAAAGATCAAACTGATTATGTACAACTCATGTGAGCCTTATCCCAACCATCTGGGATATGACCATCTAATATGTAATTTGAAAAAAGTCAGAGCTACCCTACTAGTCCGGCACATAGTTACCAAAGAGCCTGCTCTTCTAATGCATATGATGAGTAAGAACCTGCTTAGTGTTGATCACAGACAACCTCAAAGAAAAACCTGACGATACCAGCGGATATACTGTACAGCCTACAGCTAGAACAACCTTCTAATAAAGGACCTCTTTTCCACAAATCATTATTACAGATACAATTGAGAATAGCTATTTAACTCCAAGAGCAGCTCAGGGAATGCAGACCCTAATTAAAGCTTCTCTGTACTCATATATCTTAGTTACACTAGACAGGTGCCAATAGAAAGAAATCCATCAAAGAGAGACACAGCATATAGTCAAAAACGAAACAATGACCTCCAGGTGACAGGACACATATTAGCAACGAACAGATGCTTATAAACTTCGAGACAAGACATCTAGAGATTCAGATTCCCAATGACAATTAGTTGTTTAATAATCATTGCGGAAACCCAAAGATGTAGAATCGAACATAAATTTCCTTGACGCACATGTGCAATCAAAATAAGTAACTAATAGGTACTGAAGAATTAGTTAGTTCATGTTACTCAGAAAGAGAACAATCATGAATTGATAGAACGGTTTAGACAAGGGCAGACCTCGGGGTAGGAACATCAACTGAATCTGTCTTCCTCCAGCTTCTCTCCGTCCGGTCTTCAGGTAGACTTGTCCTTCCGTCCCCCGTTCCGAAATTCTTCTTTCCAAACGACGGGCCATCACTATGAGCAGGACCTCCATTCTTAACCTCCTTGATCTTCATCGACTCGAGCTGCTCGTCAATCTTCTTCCAATCCTGACCTTTTTCCGCCAAAACTTCCTCCCTTGGTCGGGCCTCTCCAAACGGGTTCAAACCCTTGCTTTTGGTCGTAGTCACGGACCCAGGCTGTTGCTGATCGCCGTTGCTCAATGGCAAAGTTCGTGGCTGCAAAACAAGTCTCGGCCTTCCACTTCCATTGCCCTCTTCCCTCTTCTTCCCCCAAGAATCCGAATCTGCACCGCTACCGAGGGACGACTCCTTCTGAAACATCTCAAAACCTCCCCTTCTATCCCTATGGTTCTCAAATCCACCTCCTGACCCCACTCTTCGTCCTTCGGATAGAACGAAGGTCTTGTTCGTCACCCAACTGTCCGATTCGTCAGCCCTAGATTGCGAATCGAAGAAACCACTCCTCTCTCTGCGCTCAAACGGAGGCGGAGCAGCCACAGATTTCTTTGCGGCACCCCAATCGTCAATCTCATCAGCACGGGAAGGAGCAGGTTCCCTGTGAAAACTTCCGTTCCTGCGGGGTTCATCGGAAACCCTAGAAGAGCCCCACCTAGGGTTGGAAGCATCATCGCCGTTAGAATACCTACTACCACGGCCGTTTTCATGCATGCCGCCGGAACCATAAGAACGGAATCCACGGGAGGAAGCACGCTCAAGTTCCTCGGCAGTGCGCTCGCGAGGGCCGGTGGGGAGCATGAGAAGCTCATCGGTGGTGAGACCCTTGGCTAGGTTGGACTGAGCGGCTTTGGCGGAACCATAGGTGACAGAGTTGCCGGTGTTGAATTCGGCAAGGGAGAAAGTCTGGCCCTTCTTCTTCTTGGATTTGGTGGCAGCAGCGACGGAGAGAGAAGGAAAATCTGAGGTGAGAGGTTGTTGGTGGGTGGGATTGGAGTTGGAGGCGTAGTCGATATGACCATCACTCTTTTCACTAGCGTCGTCCTTCTGCTGCTGCTGAAGAAGCTCCATAGCTTCGTGTTCTTCCGAGTCGAGGGCCCATGCCCCAGGCTTCGCCCATGCAGATACAGTGGTCGCCATTCTCTCTTCTCTCCCGCTAGCCCTCGCTCTCTGCTCTACCTCTGTTGTTTGGTTAATAAAACTCTCGGTATGGAAAGCCTCCATTTTATTTATTATTACTCTAGGCTGGGCCGCTGGGGATGCTGTGCTGTGCTGTACTGTATTACAACTGGGACTAGGGATTTAGGATTTGGCAAGTAGGCCTTGTGATGCCAACGCGTGTTCACACTTCAGAGATGGACGGCTTCTGATGAAAAAATAAATTAAAGTAAACTCCCCGTGTTTTTCTTCTTTCCATAAATCCTAATTCCGAATCTGGGTAAAACCGGATTTCCCGTTTGCGTTAGCACGTGCATCCCGCCCTCGGTTTTTCTCGGGTTCGTTCTTCGCAACAAATTCAAGGAACTTCACTCACGCAGCCCCCCATAATCGTGTGTATGCAAATGGAAAGGGTTAATGCGGTCGTTAAGTGCGGTTCTTTTATCCAGACCCGGAGCCTCATATCATATGCGCGTATTGCGTCGCTTCGGGGTTTCATCACTCATCAGGAGTTTTATACCTGATTCCTTTTAGCTCTCGTATATAGATCCGAAACGGGCCCGTTTATGAATTGGTTCATGTGAGTGAGATGGGATAAGAGGACAATATATATAGCGTGTAAAGAAAGCATCGTGAAGAAGGATTGAACTTGGGAGTGATTGTTTGTTGATAGATATCATCATGCATGATTCATGCAATGGAAGAGAGAGATAGACCTCTTATGCGTAAACTGTAAATTGTATTTGTATTTATATTGCCGTGCAAGCGAGGATGAGGTCAGGTAGCAGACTCGCAGAGCTGCTTCTGATTCTAACACGACCGATCCAACACCAAGCACTGAGAATCCGAAGATATAAATCATAAATGGAGATTTACTTAGTTCAACTTATAATTACTGTTCAGACAACCGAATCGGGCACAGATCCCTCTGATCGATTGGTCAGCGGGTATGATCGAACCGGTCAAAGTTCTGGATTACGGTTCAACCAATTTAACCGGCCAATCCGATTCGATTTTCTAAACACTGCCTATAACCATGTTCACAAACGTAAGAGAGGAAGAACAATGGAGATTTATAGTTATAATCAATATTTTAAAAACCGATGTGGAAATAGAATTGCTTTTATTTCCGAGTCAATGGTTCAAACGACTGTGCTAAATGGGTAATGATGGTTCTGTTAAATCCATTATTCTAACCGTTAGATTGGTGTATTAAAGTTCGCAGAAGAGAGACGTGGCAGAAGAAAAAAAAGGGAAGAAAAAAAAAATAAAGGAGGCAAGAAGGGCAAGAAAATAAAAAGGAAAAAGAATGGGTACAGGTTTCCATTTGAGTTGATTCCCTCAGAAGATTTCCACAATCTCTTCACCTTCTTCAATGCTGACAGATAAGAATTTCTCTAGAAGGGATTTTTCCAATCCTCAACCTATTAATGGAGGGGGTTACGAGTAAGGTGTCATTTGGTAATTCCTTTTTGGAAGATATTTGGAAGATTTGACATAGCTTTTGCATAAAGATTTTGGCAATTCACAAACCATTTGGTGGAGATGCATCTTTTTGAGATTGTGTCTTTCACAACAAGGCATTTGGCAAATCTTTTTAGGAAAATCTTCCAAAAGCTCAAGACATCAAAACAGTGAAAGACCGATAAACTTTCACAGATAGATCTTCAAAGACCATTTGGTTACAATATTTTTCAAAGATCTTTTCTAAAGTTAGAAAGACCAAAAGACCGTTTGACAAACACACTTGTGGATCTCTTTTACATACATGTGAAATGTTATGCATAGGACCTAGTAACACATTCAAACATATAAATAGTACTTGCAAGTCCCACTCGTATTTACTTTTGCTAAATATTAAAATGGACCCAACTCATGTATTTCCGTTGAAGTAAATTAGATTTATATGAAAACTACAAGCAATCCTAACCCATTTAAACTAAAAACATTAAGGATTGGATCTGAAATTTCAAGTTGCAGGTAAGAGTCTATTTAAAACTTCGAATTTCCCTAAAAGCTACAATCAATAGATAAACAAATCATTTCCCTTAATATCCATGTAACAAATCATTACAGCCAATTGGATTTTAAATATAAAACCAAAACTAATCCCAACCCACTTAAACCAAAAGCACCAAGGATTGAATCTAAAATTTCAAGCTGCAAGTAAAAATTAGACAACTATACCCACTTAAGCACACATGTATTCAATTGAAAACCCCACTTATAGTTAACTAAAACCAAATAAAATGGTTATTCAATTGGAAGATAGTCAAGTACAGATCATTGCTGAATATGGATCACAACCATTACATAAAATCAACACTGTCCAAGAGCTCCCACGGGAAGGTGGCTATCGTCATTGTGTCCACACAGTACCGGTTTCAATGTTGCCAAGAGGTTTGACTTGGAAGAGGTTAAGTACAATTTCGCAACACAAGCTGAAGGTAAATCTGAAGGTTTAGGAGAAATGCTAGGTCGTTGTAGGTGATCATGCTCTATTTTAGATATGGAAACTTTCTGTGAAAATCACCTCCAGAATGACCAAGAAAGGTGAACTGTAATTACTGGGACATGTTCTTGAACTCATTAGATGATGTGAAGGTCTCGAAAGCACTTGAGAGTATGTTCTGTTTCTTTTGATTGAATGGCTCCAACAACACTTCTCTTATTCATCTCTCGAGCATATTAGGCCATCCTTTGTTGTATAATTTCTTACATTCTGAAAATTCCAATACATGGATTTATGTCAAATACAACAGATGTATTCTAAATGGAGAAACAACCACTACAGAGATAAACTTAAAGTTGACAAACAAGAAAATAGGGCCTCGAACCTAACTACTCAAAGGATATATACATATACTGTATATCCTTGACAATCCTTTATAGTCTATTTTCTGTATATCCTTCATATTTGTTATCATTTATACATAAGTTGAAGCAAAGATAAGGTACGCAAAAGAGCCTTAGGTTGATGAAATTGAACAAATCAAACAAGTCCCACATTACACTCATGTGGGTACACCCTGTATTTTGTAGAGTTGTATAGAACTATCACTTGACTTTCTTTTTCCCTCACCAATTCAAAAATCATTAGGGGGAACACTAACCAAAGGGAACTATTTGTATAGTTGCAAAGAACTATCAAAAGCTCATAATCATTTCAATTAAATACTTTTATGTGGCTGAACGTTCTGCCAATTTGGTGTGAATCCAGATAAGCTACAACCAAGGTACCTAGGTACCTCCCTGCCATTTGTGATCTTAATAACTGAGCTAAACCTTATTACAGGGTACCTCCCTGCAATTTTTCCTTTTAATAGGTTAGAATAGCAATATAGTGATGAGAACATTTTACCACCCACCTAACTAGGTACCAACCTTGTCAACAACATATACTTTTTATGTGAGAATGATATTATTTAAATTATAAAATTTAAATGGATCTAACAACTATTAATAGTGGGAGTTAATTATGAATAAGTAGAGTCAATAGGAGGAAACATAAAATATAGTTCTAATTCAATGAATCCTTATGCAAATGGCCTGCTTGAGGCACATATTGTCAATCTATTACTAGATTGTCTTTATGGAAGCCCACCAATTGCTTGTTTGTTCTTGAATTCAAGTTCCTTTCTAAAAACATTCCCGTTTTAATTTTAGAGAGTTTCCTGTCTAGAGATGATGACGACACCATGACAAAACATATGCAACTCAATCAGATGCAGTCATACAAAAACAAATGTTCCTGTTGTTTCAACAATTTGGATGGCTTTCAATTTTATGCAAAAATTTCTTGCAAAAATTACCACGACATGCTGATTAAAAAAAAGAAAAATACAATTACCATGAAATGTGAATTCACAGTCCATCATTCCAATTTGTTCTGGCTTTCAACGTTTTAGCAATTGACCCCTCTTCCATTCACTTTAGTGAAAGAAAGTCAACAAATGAGCTAGCAGATTCACTCACTAGAGAAGTGATCAAGTCCTATTTTCGTTGTCCAGCTTTGTCTTTTGTTGAGGAAACCCAAAGGCTTTAATTATTCACAAGATCATTTACTCTGTACCACCAATTCAGGATTGGTGGTTAAATCCACATAACACAAAGACACAGAGAAGAAGAGGCGAGGTAAAAAGAAATGGCATACCTGGTGGAAGGAATAATCAAGTGGCTGCTTGATTTCAAATGCAGTCTACAAAATGAACAATGGAATCATAAAATAAAACATGAAAATAACAAATTTAAAAAAATCTAAGAACTACAAGTTTTGTAGTTGGATTATTCTAGGTAACTAGTGACAACTCTAATTTCTGACCTTGGACTGTACACACAGTGATTAGATCTTGTAAAATGAAAAGATATTCTCGAGCGCTTGATGACTTTGGCGACTAGAAACCTAGAAACTTTAATGAACAGGAAAATGCATGAAGAATGCTAAAGTGAGAAGCCTAAAACAATAGTGATCAATCTAAAAAATAGAGGTAAGAATAGAGATTCAGATCAAAGAAGAAAGAAAAAAAAAGTAGGAAGAAAGAAGAGGAAGGAGTGCTCCATACCTGGTGTGGATATTCGTTCGTTTACGAGGCCTATCCGCTTTGAGCAGGATGTGAGAGTGAAAATGAAGGTTTTTCGAATGACCCCTATCGAGATCCCATAAGCTCGAAAAGACCAAAAGCTTCAAATGAAGCTTCCGGATTTTGGACAATTTTGAGCTTTATTGAGCTTTTCGAGGGGATATCTTTTTAGCTTTTTGCCTTTTGTTTACCAAACGCAAAAGCTCGCTATAGGTCTTATGAGCTTTGAAAAGCCTGAAAGATCCTTTAGAAAGACTAGTCAAAACACCCCCTAAATCTTTTCCCAATTAAAAAGCCAACAATCCATACGAAAAGATGCACCAAACGATACCTAAATTTCTGAAGCATAGAAGATCTCATTGATGGAGTAACTCCCATAATCATCCTCGCCAATGACAAGGGTAACCAGTTCAGACTTCAGAGTTCAACAATGCAATTATTGTACAAGGTTCCATGGATCGAGAAGATTTTGTCTTGTAACCAGGGTTTTAAAAACCAACCCGAAAATGGAATCGTTCTAGCTACCAGTTTTTGGGTCAGCGGTTCAACCGTCTAGGTTGAATGGTTTGGACGGTTTGCATATTAGGATAAATATTTTATACGAGATTTGAGAAAGGAGAACTGGAGAAGAGATGTTATCGGTTGAGAAAGAAAATAGAAAGAAGAAAAGAAAGAAAGAAAGAAGAAAGGAAAAAAAAAAAGAAAAAAAGAGAAATGAAAGAAAGGAGGGAAGAAGAAGGAAGAGGAGGATGATGGTTCGATGCTCACCGGCGACGATAATGGCAACGGCAAGGTAGCAGCAACAGACACATATCTGAGTTCTCGGATCTGAGACCTGAATTCTCATATCTCAGATTTGAGATTCTCTGTAATATCTGTGATCTTCTTCTTCTTCTTCTTCTTCTTCTTCTTCTTCTTCTTCTTCTTCTTCTTCTTCTTCTTCCTTAGATCTGAGACATGAACTCAAATATAAGACATGAGTTCATGTGTTTCTCTCCTGCAACTTTATACTACAAATAGTTGTCCGGGTCAAATGAGTCGATGATTCGACTGCCCAGGTCAGCAGTTTTCTAACAAAGTCAACGGTTTTTTACCCAAGGATGGATTAGGGGTGAAGCGGAACCGATTGCTTGGACGATTTCCAGGCCAAACGGTCCAACTGTCTGAGTCAACGACAATTAAAAAACATTGTTTGTAACTAAGCAATCATCATTGTTGCAAGGAAAGTGTAGCATTATTGAAACTCCAAATCTTTGAATCTTGAGAGAAAAAAAAAACCATAAGGCTCAATTTGGAAGGAGTACAAATACAATTATGTAGAGTGCAAAGCCTTGTATTTTGTATTATTTTTTATGTATTTACACCGTACATATTTGTATTTGTACTCCTTCCAAATGGAGCCTAAGGCTCCGTTTGTTTGCGATACAAACGCTGAACTGGGGTATTTTATGTACTCCGGCTCACATTTGTGAGCATTTGTTTGAAATGTAAAAAAGTAATGATTATCAGAGCAAAAATGTATTTTTTGACAATTTTGTACTCTGAGAAGAGAGCATTAGTGTACTTATTTTTTGGATACATTTTTGTGTTCTTTTGATAATTAACTTTTTAATCAAAGTTAATGCATTGGAGCATAAGATAGTTGGAGCATTTAATGATGGGCCCACACTTTTGCATTGATTTCAAACAAACAAGATGAATGCAAAAACGGTTTAAAATGTGAATCGTATTTGCATTCATGAACCAAAAAATGGATAAATATGTAGTGTACATATTTGCATTTACATTGCAACCAAACGCAGCATAAGGCTCAATTTGGAAGGAGTACAAATACAAATATGTACAATACAAAATAATACAAAACACAAGGTTTTGTGCTCTACATGTGTATTTTACTCCTTCCAAATGGAGCCTAAGGCTCAGTTTGGAAGAAGTACAAATACAAATATGTAGAATGCAAAACCTTATATTTTGCATTATTTTATATGTATTTGTACTGTACATATTTGTATTTGTACTCCTTCCAAATTGAGCTTAAGAAGGAGTACAAATACAAATATGTACAGTACAAATACATACAAAATAATGCAAAATCATATTTGTATTTGTACTCCTTCCAAACAAAACCTAAGGCTTAGTTTGGAAGGAATACAAATACGAATATGTATAGTACAAATACATACAAATTAATATAAAATACATAGTTTTGCACTCTACATATTTGTATTTGTACTCTTTCCAAATTGAGTATAAATTAAACCTAAGGCTCAATTTGAAAAGAGTATAAATACAAATATGTATAGTATAAATATATATAAAATAAGGAAATTGTCTAAAATTCACTATGACTTTTCAGCATTTCTCTTAAACTTACCATAACTTTTCAAAACGTCCAGGGAACCCATGTAAGTGTGGTTTTGTTTTCCAAAAGTCACCATCGGCTAAAGTATGTTATTGTTTATTGGTAAAATTGTCCACATCAGCACAAGTACAATTTTCGTGACCAAACTACCCCTAAATGATCAGTCACCTTATTAAACATGTTTTTATGATTAAAAAGCCCTTAATCGCCCAAATATAAGATTTTCTCAATTCTGGTTTCCCGGGGAATGCAGAAAGATGAGAAGAGCCCCAACTCACTGCCTTGATTCGTGAGGTCCAGCCTAGAAGATCTTCAGAGGCTTCTATCTCCGGCCTCCCCCCTCCTCCGCCCCCTGCTCTTTGTATTCTCTGACAATTAATTAGATCCAAAAAGAGAAGCTTTTTTGATTTTTTTCTATGAAGGGTTTTGAATCACTTCAATGGCAGACAAGAACAGAGGAGAGCAAAGAGCTGGGTCGATTACTGGACCATGGAACCTTCGCTAAGGTCTACCATGCCCAAAACTTGCAGGACAACAACATAATCCATGTATAAGAAGATTTACCGGGGAGGTAGGGTCCTGTTGGAGAAAGGAATAATTAACTTGTCGAAATGGTTAAAAGTTGCAAACCCTACTGAGCTTCAACGCTACTAGAAAACAACTGATCCAATTACCCAAAAAAAAACAAAGCAACTAAGTGGTTTCTTTTGTTCGCGAAATTCATTATCTAAAACCCAAAAAAGAAATAAATCCTGACTTCAGCAACTACAATATCCGTTCTACCTACCTATGTCGTGCTCTTAGTCTTTACATTCTGATAACCTTGACTAGGGTTTGGATGTAATAGTCGATCATTTGCTACTTCGTGGCACCTTCACCATCGGGCTTAGCCATAACGATGAACCAGTGCTCGTAGTAGCCAGGAAAGAGTGGTGACATCTACGTTGGCAGCTTGTCATTGAAATTGGAAGACGAGTTCAGCGGCGAATACGTGGAGTCTCCATATCGCTGCACCCTACATCGAATAGGGTTCAACCTTAATGCACATGGCACGACAACTCGGACTGAGTGCGAGAGTAGTGATGAAGGATGACTATTCCGGACAAAGCCAGGGAATGGAGGGGAATCTGTGAAAGAAGAAAGTGTTTAGAGAGGAGTAGAGATGGTTTTGAGCAGCAAGACGAAGCGACGACTCATGGTATGGCTGCCGCCATTTTCATAGCCACAACTGAGCGCAGGTTGGATATGGCTTGCTTGTGTTTCTTGTGTGATTGATACATCCATTCGGCAGACATCCTTTCTAGATGCTTTCAAGAGGACATTTCTCTTTGTCAAAACTGCCACAAGAGTGCTTCAAAGATGTTCCGTGCATGATCATCAGCTTCGACTTGTCACTGTTGTTTGAGGAGAAAAGGGGAAAAAAGGAGGAATTGAGATTCACAACGACCAAACCTGTGAGCAGCGTGATAGCAAGACCGGAGGAGGTGGCAAAGGCGAAGAAATTCAATGTTAAGAAGAGCGAGTCTAGAGTGAAGTTGTAAGGGCAAGAGATGGGAAGGAAAGTGAAGCTAGCGATTGTAGTGGAAATCTTTGTTGTCACGCCATCGTTCCTGGTGGTGAAAGTGAAGAAAGAGGAGATACTTTGTAGTACAATCAGTTCTGTAGTAAAGACCTCCGTCCAGCACTTAAAGACATTGTCTGGACATCACCGACGGAGAATCTGGTGCTGCTTCAAGAAGAGAGCGGAGGGGGGAGGGAGTTTAGAATTAATCAATGTTGTTATTTTGTTATTAATCAAAATTAGGTTATAATCTTTTTATTAATCAAAAAAATTCTGAAAGGAAAATGGGTCAAACATAACAAAGGGTAAAATGGTAATTGACTAACTCCCGCTAGTCTGTTTGCTGTCAGATTACTAACATGGATTCCTTGAACGTTTTGAAAAGTTATGGTGAGTTTAAGAGAATGTCAAAATGTCATGGTGAGTTTTAGACAATTTTCGTATAAAATATAAGGTTTTGCACTCTACATATTTGTATTTATATTATTTCCAAATTGAGCCTAGCACTTGGTTCAAAAGGAGTATAAATACAAATATATAAAGTGCACAATGTTATAATTTATATTATTTTATATGTATTTATACTTTTTCCAAACTTAGCCCAAGTAAAACTGATATTATTGAATAACCTTTTAGGACAAAATTGTTTTTTAGTTCTTTTATTTTGACTTTTTTTCTATTTTTAATTGTGACCCATTAACCATTGCCTGGGTCAAATGAGTATGTGGATTGACCGCCTAGGTCTGCGATTTTTTGACTATTTCAACAGCTTTTTTTTTTTCAAAAGTAGTTTAAGGTCAAAATGTCGATTACTTAACCAATTTTCAGGTCAAGTGGTTCAACCATCCGAGTCAACAATGGCTTTAAAACCTTGGTTATAATGTTTACAGTCTCTCCAAAATCCTTAACTCCCAATTCCACCCATCACAAAACTTTTTTTTTTCTACAACCCATGACTCAAAAGTAAAAGCTTATGCAAATGGAGCCTTAATGTTTCACAAGCATATTCCCAAACTCTCTTAAAATTGTCTTTCTACACTTTTTCCGATGCCCCTACTTTTCAACCTTGTTCTCAGGGAATATTAAAAAAATAAAAGACTAAAAAAAGTTATAATAGTAACAGTAGTAGCTAATCTACAATAGAAATATAAAATTATTAAGGTAGTCTTTTTTATTAATGGCAAGGGTGTATGTTCATGCGTCCCTTGTTTTTTCACTTTGTCTAAAGAGGCTTACTA